CGATTCCATTGCAGTATTAATGCGAAGGACGAATTATTTTGAGTGAGTTCTTAAGCATCATGAGTAGATGGACCACCATTAAATTGTCATGTACATCATATCGTTGAAGCGCATCGGGTACATGTGTAGTTCTCCAGTAATATTTCAGCATAACAATGATAACCATTTAGCAATAAATACCCCACACATAACCGCAACGAAACCCCCGTGAAAATCCTCGCACAGCATCACAGTGAAGCCTCGCTGAGGCATCGTCCCTAATCCGCTAATTTTCAATTGCCAAATCCATGCGAAAATCGTAATCTCCGTGCTGTGAATATGGCTTATATGTATATGTATGTTGCATGCATCTGTGTCGTTGAAGGGGGGGTTTTATGACTGGCAAATGTTGGACAAACACTGAGGAGACCACAGAGTTGTACATACAGTTGTACGGGCCACAGGCGTCGAGGGGAGTTTATAAAGTTCCCAGACTACTTGACAAACGTGGCAGAAGTTTTGTTTTATTTATTTAAGTCAAAAGTCTCCTTATGCTGTTCAATTCAGTCCTAATTTCGTATAAGCTGCTTGTTAAAATTGAAATTAACTATAGAAACTGAAGTTTTGAAACCACCCTCGCCTCATTATAAATGTGTGCTTTTGAGCGAGTGTGTATGTGTGTGTGCACACATCTCTGCGGGTGTGGGTACATCCTTTATAAGCAAACAAAATGCAATTATATAAATATGTATAATGCGATGGCCAACGATTCTCATTATACAAAAGCCACACTTACATACATACATACGCACGCTTGAATTATGGCACTGCGAGTGTGAGTGTGTGTGTGTGCGTTGAGCGGCATATACTTAACGCATATTATATTAGTTCCTGGTCTATATATGTATGCAGCGTCCCCCGATTTAAGTACATAGAACATACATATATATACATACATATAGCACAAATTATTGCAGGCAGCTCCTAATCTGGTCGCAAATGCCTTCTTCCCTCCCCCCTTCTCCTCTCCACCCCCTTTCTGCAAGCCATATATGCAAATTAACCAAATTAAAAAGTCGAATATGTTTTGCTAAAGCTATCACAAATTACACGGGAATTCGAATTACGCACCTAATCCATTGATTACTTGCGAATAAAACTACACAGCATATGACAATCATTGGGTTAATTACCACTGGCATTTAAAAGGCCAAGAAAGGATTTATATCCACCAACTTGACTCTCGAGTTTACTTGAACCCATGACGTATACCTAATATTTCGTAAACATTACAGAGCTATCATTGCGCATTCGCCGCATATGCAACAATTGCATACTATTATTATTTTATATGAGTCTTAGCCCTGTTCTCCCCCTGTTACATTCCCCTCATTAAATAAATTTACTTTTGTCGCCACACACGGCGTATGCGTAATACTGATAAGGCGCCTCAAAAGGCCACCAGTTTTGGATTCTCAAAGACTTTGCATTTTTCTGCTAACACCAAAACTTCGCATATCAGGGCAAAGCTGCATTTTCCTGATGTTGATGAGGTTGTAAAAGTTAAATAAATTACAAAATATATGTAACCAAAAAAGAAAACAAACAAAAAGCAATAGCAAACAGAACGGATAGCAGAGATGTGTGGTGTGCGGCTGCTGAAAATGGCAGAAAAAAAAAAGGAAAAAATAGGGAAAATAAGGCTAAGGGTGTTATGCGTGGGCAGCCTCGCCCCATTTTCACCCAGCTGACGCCCACTCGAAGTATATAAATGCGAAACATGCTGAAAATTCTTACATAAGCACGAAGAGGAGACTCTCAAGGGGCGTAGGAAAGGCAGGGCCTTTTGCGTGGGGAGGTGCCTTTGCGCACCACCCAACCCCTACCAAAAATGTTTCTCACAGTGTATGTGTGAGCTGCATACATTAACAACAACAATAACAGCAACAACAAAAGCTGTGCCAGCCACCGTAAATATTGAAAAATTCCATATCCGTTGTGATGTCAACTCATAAAAAAAAGAGAAAACCCCCCCGACAGATGGCGGCACCTACGAATGCGAACCCCCTGGAAAACCGAACCGATCCAAAATCCTCTCTATAAAATCCACCCATCCCCAACACCCGCCCTCTCTTTTATCTCCTTTATATCAGCACAAGAAAAAGCGAGAAATAAGTGAAATAAAACGGAAAAGGTACATACATATATGTATAGAGAGAAGGAACATACATACATATATGGTATTGTCCTCCAGGGGGCGCCAGTGAGCCGCAGTTGTCGTCGCCTTTTGTGGACATCAAAAGCCTAAAATCTCCCGAAAACCCCAACCCTCTTCTAGGATACATATTACCCCACACTTCTCCAACGCCCCAAAGCTCGTAAAGCAAATTTCACTTTAAACGAAACATTCTTTTGATTACTTAATCAAATTGGTCCAAGAGTTTTTGTATATATTATTATTCTTTTTAAATTACAGCAAAGTTAAGTTGAATATCTTTTCGAATTTCGGAAATTATTTTGAACTAACTTTAAGTTGAATTTAGTGGATAAATTTGAAAAAAAAATTTTTTTTTTTATTTTTTGGTATTTACGGAGTTTAATTTAATTTCTTAAATTTAATTCTCTAATTTGGCCCAGATTCTGCTTTTTAATTTTTAGGTCAACCTAAAACTGCTAGAATTTCATTTCATTTCTTACAACAGTGCATGATTTTCAAGCATTAATTTTAAGGTGGTTTTTTTTTTATCTCGCACATACTTGAACTCGGTCCACCAGCTATTCTTTACCCTTTCTTTCCTCTTTCTCTTATCTTCTGTTAAGTAACAGTCATTTTTGGAGAGACGTGCCGTTTTAACAGCTCAACGAAAGAAAAAAGTACTTTTGCATTTTAGGTCAGGTCGCACTCGCAAAATCTATGCAGCAGCAGCGACGCATGACTAGTTTTGCCTTTTTTTCTCCTTAACTTCTTTATGTTCGCTTCTTTCTCCTCACATCTTCCTTGCTCGCCCCTCTTCTTTGGCCTTTTCTTCTGTCGTCGTGAGCTGGCAGCGTATAATTTTCATGGCAAGTTCATTGAACTTGCGAATTTTTTTCACCTTACTACGAATTTTTTCCAACTTGTTTTTGTTTTTTGTGGTGTATTTGATTCTTTTCCATTGGGATGGCCAACAATTAAGTGGCCGAATAAGAAGAAGCCAGAGAAGAGAAAGAGCTAGACAAAGAGAAATTAGGTTTTCTAGTTGTGCCACTCAGGCTTAAAAATTTGTTGACCTGTCTATATAAAAATTATCAGTTCTGCCAAAAAAAAAATATATATACATATAGATATATAAAGATATAAAAAATGTGGTACGTTATTGCTTAATAAGAAATAGGTTGTAATATTATATTGATATAGAAAAAAAAAATGGTACTTCCATTGACCATTTTCCTCTCAATCGACTCAAACGACTCTCTTTTGATTTTATGGACTAACCTTAAAGCGGCTCATTTTCCGCTGCTTTACCACAGGCATCTCTGCTGTTTCTCTCCTTTTCTCGCCGCCTCTTTTTGTTTCTTTCTCTCGTTTTGTTTGTTTCTTGTTTGTGCTTTCCGCTTTTTATTTTGAGATTGCAGCTTTTCTTGGATTCCCTATTTTAATGTATTTATTTAACACAAACTTGTGATCTTTGCTTCATTCACTATTTATTTATGTGGGGATCTAACAGTTTGTATTTTATTTTACTCATTGTTTACTTTTTTGTTATCATTATTCCTATATACGTTTTATGTTTACTGAATTTCTTGTTTTTTATTTAATTTTATTTCTGCGAACAAATTAATTACTTTTGAAGTAATTTTTCTTTCGTGGCCACACACTTTTCACGGATTTGTTTTCATATTTCAAATTTCCCTTGTTTCTTGTTGTATACTTGTTCTAATACATTTTTGCACTATCAAGCACTGCACGGAAAAAAAAATGTTGTTCAAAAAAATGATAAGAGAAATTGCATTTTCTGCAATGGCCTTTCTCTCTTTTCCGTTAGCTTTCTTCGCTTCTCTTGTTCTCTTGCTCTCTTAGTCGCGCCGATGACAACAACAAGCGGTGATGCGATAGCGATTAACGATAACAGCGGCTAAAACAGAAACTCCATTGAGGCGTGGAAATGTGTGGAGAAAACCACTTTTCCGCCTTCTCTTTGCTTTTACGTGCCAGTCCGTTTTGTGGCTAATTTTTACGGTATTTTCTTTTTGCAACTCCTTTTGCTTAGCGAGACGTCCATCGGTCTTTGCTCTGCTTTCGCCGTCTGCTTCTTACTATTCGTCGTATTCTTCTTATGCTGATTTTCCTCGTTTTGCTGTTGTTGTTGCTGTTTAGAAGGCGAAAACTCGGAAAAGACAAACAGGACAACTGCGATAAACGACAACGAGAACGAACCGCTTACAACTGCCGGTGAACGTCGCCAAAAACGCAGCTTCGTCTTCCTCTGTCGCTGCCTCTGCCGCAGCCGCTGCTGGCGTCGACTGCGGCAGCGTGGTCTCGCGAATGCTGCCGCCGAAAAGCTGTTGTTTTTGTTGACCTTTTTTTCAGATTTCCTTAGAAAAATCCTTACTCTGCTTTTTCGAGCTTTTATTCTAAGCAACTTTTATGTTTCAAAGTTATCGCAGTCTTCAACACGCTGCCAAGAATATGTAAACAAAAATTCATTTTTGGTCTCTCTCCTTTTAAAACAATCCTTGATCAACTTTTACTTCCAGTTGTGTTCAAAATAATAATGCTTTTAGTCAATATTTTATAATACTTAAGCCAGTGAAACCAAAAAATGATTTTTAAGGATTTGCTTGTTAGAAAATACATATATGTAAAGAATGTTTCAAGATCGCGAATATCTCATACTTATTCTAATTTTTGATTTAATTTCTAATTATATTTATTTATTTGTAATTGTTATATTAGAGTGACGTCATGATAAATGACGTAAAATGATAGTAAATAAATTAAAATAAATATTTTATTTTAATAATCTTTTTTATTCTTTTAGACATTCCATGAAAGTAAAAAACAGGAGGAACTGCGACGTCGACGTCGGCAGAGCGAACAGCGCCCGACCTACGACCACATTAAAAGAGAGAGAGAAAGAGAAAGCGGGAGAGCGCATGGAAGAGCAAAGCCAAAAGAATGGCAAAACAGAAAGAGCGAGGGAGACAGCCGGCAAAACGTCAGTGGGAATGTTAGTAACATGCGGAAGTGCACTGCATGCTGTTATTTTCGCTTTCTGTTTTCCCGCTGTTATCGATATCATATTATGTGCCGATATTTGAAAAGTATTTCGCGGTCAACCGCATAGTAAATATCACCAGATAATAGCAAATTTGATGTTACCAAACATTAGAGTTGAAAACATTCTACATATTCCTTAATGAAATGTAAGAACATTATTGATACTTTAGCTCTTTAAGCGCGGTCTGACCATTTTCCACTGTTTTTTGGCTTTCTCCGCAGATTCTTCTGTCGCTGAAACGTTGGGCCTATCAGCTGTTCTTTCATTTGCACTTTCATTCCATTACACTGAAAAATAAAGAGCAGAATCGTGGCAGAATGCAAACAGAGAAGCAGCAGTGCCCGAAAAAACCAAATAGACCAAAAAGGGGAGCGCTATGTGGGCGGAAAGTGGGTGGTGTGCAGGCATTCCGTGAGTTTCTCAGGTGGGTGGTGCGACTATGCCTATGTATGTATGTATGTGTCTGTGGTCCCCATCTTTATGTGCCTTTATGTACTGCGAGTGCCGTGCATTTATGTATTGCCTGTGCTTGTGTGTGTGTGTGTGTGTGTGACGAAATGTTGACAACAACAACAGCGACAAGGTGAGGGCCATGTGTGCGTCTGTGGTAGTGCTGCGATTAAGGCCTACACTGGCCAAAAAAGGAGTATCACAAACATATTGAACCAAATCGAACCACAGATTCAAGGTTGTAGTATTAATTACAATAAGTTGCTGGATTGAAAAACCCCCTAAGTTATGGTTAAAAACCGGCATTCAATTTAAATTGAAAACAAACTGCCTGTGCGATTTGTTTTCGTGTGTTTCCCATTGAAAAGGAGCTCAGAAGTGGGTGGAATATGGGGGTGGGGTGTTGAACAACAAGGGTTGGGTAGCTACCATTCCCCCATCCCCCCTTACATTCCCACACTCAGAAACACACACACACATACACAGCTTCATCTTTGCATTATCCCAACGAATTTACCCATTTTCCTCCAAATTTCTCAATTTTTCTTGTTCTCTTTTCTCCCTACCGCCGATGCTAATTTATTTTCGCTTTTTTTCCACATTTCCATACCTCTTCTTGTGCTTCAAAGCGGCAGCAAAGCCAAGAAAGAAGTGCAGAAAAAAAAGAAAACATTGAGGGGCAAAAACTTCGGAAAAGCATCTGCAACAACAACAACTGCATCTGCATGTGCATCTCGACGAAACAAGAAAAGTTCCAAAGTGCAATAACCGTTTGCCATTAACCCTTCGATGGCCCCAGGGGCCAGCCCATTGACAGCCAATCGCGGCGATCTATGCGACGTCATACACAGCGAGAAATTGGAGTCAAACAAGGCAGCCAACTAGCATAATTACCATATATCAAATTTCTTCGTGTTTGTTTTACAAAATATGAAATATAATCCATGTTTAAATTGAAATCTTTCGCACTTACCCTCACTCCCATAATTCGAGCCTCCAGAAGCTCCTGTTTCCGTGGATTCAGTGAAGTTTGAAATTGATCCATTACTATGTGGTTATTACCTTCGGATAGGAATTTCGTTTTCTTATTTTCAATTCAGATAAAAGAGTTTTTCTGAGATTTTTTTCTGATCGTTGGTTGGTTTACGTATTCAACATTTTGTCAGTGATTTAATGATCGATTGCAAATGTCGGCAACGAATGCGACAAGATTTGTCAGAGCCATGGCAATAATGTGGCAAATTCATCTGAAAAAATTAATGTACACCAATATAAAATCGCTATTTTGCCATATATATGCTGCAAATTTTTTAGCACGCATTGTGTGGCTTATATAAAGGCCCCTATCTGCAGGCATTTCTTATCAACGTTTTTGTTTTGCCTATAGCGCCAAACAAAAAATTACCAAATATGTATTATCAATTGTGTTTCACTGAAATACTTGTGTGTGCTATGTTCAAGATTCATTAAAAAGCTCATAAGCCCATAATGTAGAACTGACTTGTCTTTCTAAATGAAATACGTATTTGCTGGGAAATCTATCAATATGGTTTAAGGAATACTTCAGCCCGCCTAAGGGTTAATGTTCCAAGATGAAATCCCAATAGGTTTTAGTCCGAATCTTCCCCTTTTCCGTCTTCTTCTTGCCCTGCCGCTTTTGTTGCGTTGCCTGCGCTTTAGAGATCGGCATCTCGAATCTCCAATTGGAGTGAGATTTTTGTTTTTTTTGTTATTTTCCTCGCGCACTCGGCGAAAATGCAGGCCAAAGAGCGGGGCCGATAGCGGAAAGGAGCAAGATGGACGGCCCAACTAGACCTACTAATTGCCATATACACATGTGCACATATATAGCGCCACGCCTCCAACTGCCCCCAAGCACACGCACGCACATGTGCATGTGTATGTTTTCTGATTTGCTACCGGTGCCAATTTGTTTTTGCGAGTGTATTTATTTGAATTTACTTGTATTCCCGTGCAGTTGTGTGAGTGCGAGAGAATTAAATCGCCGGCTGAGATAAAATAAAAGCCACTACAACAATAACAACAATATAAGAGACTCTTTTCACTCGGCTCTCGCTCTCCCGCTCGCACTCGCACTCGCTTCGCTTTTCGTTTGCTTTGCTTTGCTTTGCGTTTGCCTTCTTCTTTTTTCCCCCTCCGTTTTTGCACACAACGCTGCGAGGTTAAGTTTGCGATTTAAGGAATTGTTCGATTTCTACGGCTTTTCCGCTATTGACTTTACATTTTTGGGTGAACGGCGGGGGGGTGGGGCGTGTTTACCATGCCATTTGGTGTAGCAAGCATATATCTTCCGTTTCCGATCGGATCGGCGATTGTCTTCAACTTTCAGAGGCTGCAACTATAGCTTTTTGTTGTTCTTTTTGTGTTTTTTTTTATTTCGCTTTTGTTTCTTTTGGCAATGGGTTTTGTGGCGTGGCACTGTCGGCACGGCACTGAAGGGTTAAGGTTAAGGGCCAATCGCCATGATACCCAAATGTGTTTACTTCGGTTTTCCACAGCCGAATTTTGTCTATTTTCACAGTAAAAAAATATTCACAATATTCACACGAACGCACACACGCAGAAATGGCCTAAAAATATACTGTAAGTTGGTGTTAAACAAAAATACCAAATTGTGTGTGCAAAGAAGCCATCTGGCGGAACGATGAGTGCGCTTAACATGCACAATTGTGACTGTTTGGCGCGGTTTGGCAATCACATGCAATGCAGCGAGCGCACAAACCACATTTAGCGAGGACATACACCGCGTACCAGCGAATGCACGAATCGCTCGCCCACCGAGTACATGCACCAGCTTAGCCAGTACACCTACCGACCTTAGCGACGACACCCACCTCGCTATTGCCCATCGCTAACATCAATGTATCGCATTAGGGTGACCGCATATTTAGTATATTTTGCAGCTTCAATTGGGTTTTAACTAAATGTAATGCTTTGCCAACATTGGCGTGCGTGTTTCTTGCGGTCACAATTGGCACGACACAAATGGGTTAGAAAACATTGGATAAAACACAGCTCACACCAAAGTTCGACCATAGTATAAACGGGACTTAAGGCGGATTTTAAATGGTATTTTTGTTCTAATGTTTGGGATTTTCTAGTGTTTGGCATTATCGATCAATAGCAATGCGGTCACACTGGTCAACTTCTGTGGCATTTTTCCACTTTCACACTAGTTTCTTTCAAGCAAGCAAAAGCAACGGAACTGTAATTGCGGTGTGCGGCGAACGAGAAGAGAAACCGAAAAGCAGCCAATTTATTGTTTGTGATTCGATCCTGTAAAAATTCATCAGTTTCCGATTCTCCGATCGCGCCTGCAAACTTTTTTGTTTAGTTTAGTGCATCAAGTGCGAGATTACACACAGCAAAGCAACAACAAACGAAGCGACAGGCCAAAGCGGAAGCGCAAAATACAATAAAAAGGAAGGAAGAAAACGAAGTACGCAAAAAGGAGAAAAGAGAAGCACAAGCATTTACAACTACAGCAATATAGAGTGATTACGCATATTTCGTATGTTGCTCTTGTTGAATTTTTTTATTTTTTTGCCGTATCGAAAGATACACTCATTTTATCTCGGTGTATACAGCCAATTAATTGCCAGAAAGGAATATACACAGAGGTTTTTTTTGTTTCATAAACAACATTTGTAAAAGCCGCCAAAAGGCGCCGCTGCCGGCGTTGCAGTCGACGTCGAAGAAAGTGGATGTGCGTGTGTGTGTGTGTGCAAAGCAAGAAGTGAACAAAAAAAACGGAGAAGTGAAATTTTGTCTGCTGTTTTTTGCTTTGTTGAATATTTAAATGTAAACTAAATAAAAGGTATTGCGCTTGGAATTTTTGTGTGTGTGTGTGCTTCATTCAGCAAAATAAAGGAAAGGAGAGCAGGGAGAGAGCAAGAGAGAGAAAGGAAAGGAGAAGGGGACAGAGAGAGCCTTTTATCAACGGCTATCAGCGGAAATATTTGTTGCCGCACCCCGCTTGACCTTATTCTCTCTCGCTGCCGCGCTCTCCTGCTTTATCGCCCTCTCTTTTTGCGGGGTGTGCAAGGTGCAGTCGCCGCCCGCATTTTGCGCGTTGACTCATACACACACGCACACACACACATACACATGCACGCACGCACACGCCCCCTCGCCCCTCTCCCTTTTAAGCCTCTCTTTATCCCAATTCCCCTTTGCGATCTCGTTTGCCGAATTTTCGCTAGAATTCTGTTAAAATCACAAGTATGGAAAATAAATTTAGCATTTCTAATACAAATATATTTCTACTCCTTTTTAGCTCAAACATATTTTTCTTACATTTGTGGTTTTTCTCAATATGACTAACTTATTAAGCTCATCTTTTGATAAACCACAAGTATCGAGTTCTAAGAATCTTCCGTGGCATTTTTGTCATTTTAAATGCACGAAAATTCGCAGAAACTGTCTTGTTTTAATCTCAGTTATTTTTCTTTGTGAGATCGGCTTTGATGGCATTCGTTTTGGGGCGTTATTCTTTTATTTTTTTTTTCACAGTGACCCCCTTTTGCGCTTTAATCCATTCCCCTTTCCTACTTTTCATTATCTCCACGACAACGTGCCAATTTTTGGGTTCTGTTGCTAATCGGAGAGCCACTTTGACATTAGCGTTAGATCATCACGATGGTAATCGTTGCGGATATTCATGCTTTGACGTTATCCGCATCTTCATGTTCCATCTTTTTTTCCAACACGCTAAAGCAAAAAAAAAGGAAAAACTGAAAAACGTGACAGAGAAAAAATTGTTTGAATTCATGTTTTACCGTTTCTAATTAAGCTCAAGTTCAAGATCAATTTGTGTGCCAGCTTCTTTTTTAATTGAATAATTTAATTTGTTTCTGACTCACGCCCTAATGATTCTTCAACAATTTGTTCTTAACGTGTTTGCTCCGCAACGTTTGCTAATTGTCATTATTATTATTTGTTTGTTTGGTTGCTAAGGGGCGTTAAAAGTGAATAAATAAATAAAACAAAATGCGAACGGGGATTGAATAGCTGATAAATATGCGAAAAAGTGCATTCTGAGTTGAGTTCCTTCCAAATAATCAATAGTTACTCTTCACATTTACTATGTAATTTGCGGTATATTCACAAAATGCGAAACAGGTATTTATGGAGTACAATAATAGTGGAAATATTAACGGAATTTTGTTTGTAGAAAGTTGGTTTATAGGTCCAAGTTACCGCGAAATGGTTCCATGTAGAAATGAGTCGCTATTAAAACTGTAAACAAAAAATCTCTGGATCTGGTGAAGTATTACTTTATTAGGATACAGCAGAACGGTTTTATAACCGTTTCACCTCCGACCTTTTCAAATATATATATATAGCTATCTTACAGGCGAGAATAGATTATCTTAAATATAGCAGTAGCAAACCAGATAAAAAAAACACTTACTCATTATATTGACGATCTTTTGCAGTGACACAGTTTTGTGTATATATATTTTTCTCATCTTTTGTTTGGCATCTCCGGGCATTTGCTAACTTGGCCCGAAGGCAGTAGATAGGCAACTTGGCCAACTTAGCCTAATTTATAGCCATCAAGCTGTGATTTGCTCTAATTTCACTTCTAATGGCAGTTTGTTAAGGGAGACAAATCAGGGAAATGGGTTCTATTTCTTGGTTTCTTCTAGGCCAAGTCTATTATGGCCACATTAAAGTCTGTTTTGTGCGAATAATGATGTTGACCCAATGCAGAAGTAATGCAAACTTTCTGAGTTTTCCTTTATCGCAAAACAATGATAATAATTCATAATGACCAAATAATTCGGGATTTTATGACTTATAGCCCTGATTATTAATGAATTGTGAATTAAACACGTGTAATGACTTTGTAATTTTCCAATTAAATGATTAATTGTGCCATCTACCGATCTACGATTTCCGTTTGTAAAGCATTCAACATTTGAAGATCTTGAGAGTTTTTCTAACAAACGATTCTCGACATAGTCGCGCAATCACATACATGCATACATATGTACATATGTACATATTTGTTTGCGGACTTTAGTTTGTTACATCATCGTATCAGCATCTCCAAAGTTCTCTGGCACATTTGCCTTATACAGGTTTTATTTCTTATGGCCAGGTTCTCAAGTGTTTCCCCAATGGCTCTTGTTGTTGTTGTTGTTGCTCCATCGCATTTGAAGATCTTTTATCAGAGCTGACTATGCCTAGGTTTTAATTATGCTCTCCTCGCTTCAGAAAACACTTCCCACGCATTGTTCGTATATGTACCTATTTTTCATATACCACTCGGTGTGAATTGAGTTTATATTTTGTTGTTGTTTTGTTTTGTTGTACACAATATATGTACATACAAAGGTATCGCTATCTGCAAAGGCAGATCAAACTTGCTCGTCTAAATAAAACACTTTGTAAATGAGTCTGAGCCACGCATTTCGCTTGACAAGTTTTCCTCGACTTGTCCAAAGAAAGTTGTACAAAAAAAATGTACAACAAGTGAACAAGTTGTCCCAACACTTTCTCAGGCTAACAAATACTCTGTAGTTTCTGGGAGGGGTCAGTAAAAATGTACAAAAGTTCAAAGAGTCAGGGCCGCAGAAACCACGCGAAACGGATAACGCTGATAAAGTATCTACAAATAAGTGCATTGTTATCCATGCTGTTAATTTTTCAGATACTAAACGATCCGAATAAATATTTTAGTATTTAAGTCATTGCTATGCAGCAATATTTATGAATATATGCTAAAAAACAAAGGTACGGATCATTATAAAACTTATCTCGCAATATATTTGTATAGAATTGTGTTGTAATATTCATGTTTTTTTTTATAAAAATTTTGTTGCTGTGTAGAAGCGAATTTTAAACTTGACATTGAAAGCGCTGCACGCGACTGCGTAGCGTCGTTGAAATCGTCGATTTCAGGCATTTAAATTGAAATAAGTATGTTTTGTGATTCAGCTGGAAAAAATTGCATTTCAACGGGAGCTAAATTGGAGTATTTTCGCAATTAATTCGTTTGGCAATCATAAGCTGGATTTTACTACGATGCCTCCTTTGTGTTCATGTTCCTCAGACATTGTTTTCGTTTCAGTGTGATTTGCGCTTAATCGCAAAAGTGCATTGAACTGATCTAACGAAGGAATGGCTGGCAGCCATCTCCTCAATGAATCAAGAAAAGTTCACTTGCAGCGATTTCTTTTCAGCTTGATTAGTGCACTCTGTGCTCCGTTGTTGTGCTCTTTTACTCTACCAACCATCTCATACCTGCATTTAATGATGTACAAAAACACAACTAACAAAAAAAATGTAGAATAAAAAGACTGAAACACAAAATTCCCACACAAAGTCAAAGAAGTTGCGATGACATGTTGAGGAAAACAGTCCAGATGGAGCAAAATGAGACAATAATATGCGTGGATTTTGCTTCGTTTTTCCGCACATGTGGCGGTTTATTGAACTTAATCTTGTGCGGAAGTTGCACAAAATCACGCCTCTCCACTTTGCAGAATGCAGCACAAAAAGCGCAAATAAATTTATTTATACTCGTATAAAAAGAAGAGCAGCGACAAGAAAATGAAGCCAATGGTGCGGCAAAACAAATAAAAAGGGCAACGTTTTGTAGAAAATAGGGGGCGTGGCTCAATTACCCCTGCTATTTTTGTTGTTTATTTTTTTTTAAATTTTTTTAATATATTCAAATTTTTTTGGGTTTGGAACATGTGAGTTGTGGCCATAAAAGCGTTCCAGTAATTATCATAAACTTGTAGGATGCTCTTATAAACATTTTTAGCGCTCTATAAATGCGGCAAGCTGGAAAAGCGGAAAATGTCAACATTTAATATCAAAAGACGAAGAAACATTTTTCTTGTTTTTATTATAATTATTATTAGTAATTTGCGATTTGATCGACTGTGTTTTTTTTCGCTCTGCACTAACTGTTACTTCGTTAACCACAAAATCGCCTCAAGGTTATAGCCAACAAACCACAACAACATGGGGGCAGTCAACCAACAACAATATCAACAATAACAACAATAATAAGACCATAACGCCAGCAAGGCCCAAAGTAAACTGAAATTAACTGAAAATAAATTAATTAATTTAACAGTTAGGATGGAAAATGTAACTAGCAAAACAAAGGAACAAAAAAATATATATAGAAGAGCAAACATGGAACTCTGACACGAATTTCACGAAGCACACGCAACGCAACACGCATCCAAAAGATGGAAAACTGTTGGCAAAAAAAAAAAAAAAAATTTAAAAAGGGAAGAGCCCAAAAACCATCCGCGAAAAGTGGAAAATCTTTCATAAACCACATGGGAGTGGTGGCCCCCAAATCGCTCACCTCATATACATACATAATGTACGAATATTTACCCCTTTTAGGTGTCATTAGAGCAACCTCCCCACTAATGGTATGGTATGGGTATAATAGCAATGGGAAGAGGCGAAGGAACTTGGGGCAGTGCTAAAGGCCAGATACGCGAAGAGGGTGACAAAGAGAAGAACGGAGAGAGGCAAAGAAAGGCACGAAAGGCCCGTTTTGTGGGAACTGGTAATAGCGGTAAACTCGTCGACTTTCGTGCACTTTAAGCATTAAACTTAACTCTTCGAGTTGCACATGCCACACATCATGCTTGGATAACCACCCACAAAAAATGGGAGAGAAAGAAGTACAGTAGACATTCGATAACTTGCGTTAAAACGGATACGATATACCGATTCGATTCTCTCAAGGATCGCAGTTTGTTGGTTTCCGTAATTGATCGATTAAAAATGGAACAGGAAAGAAAAATATGTAATATCGAACCCCTAACTTCGAAGTTAGCGATAATTAGACATTTTCAATAGGAGAGGCTTGTCTGTAATAATAAAACTAAAAGCAAACCGTGGCCGAGCACCATGAAAAGGCACGGAAAACTAAACTCAGAAGGAGAAGACGCTGAAAACTGACGTCATTGGCAACCCACCACCAAAAAAAAAAAACCAAAAAAAGCTAACATAAAAAGGGGAATAAACGGAAAAACAAAGGAAAAATCAAATCGAAATCGAATGGCAAAATAGGCGAAAACCATAATATGAGTAATAAACAAATCGGGCGCCCAACGGAGTCGGTAGGTTTCATATATATATATATATGTATACATATACATATATCTGAAACAGAAAATGTGCGGAAAAATGCAAAAAAAAAACTTCAGAAATTCCCTAGATCGCTGTCTTCTAAGGTCTGTTTAAAATCACTTGGAACCAAATAAATATCGTGCAAACAGTTCGATTATTCATACTAAATAATTGGTACGGACGAAAAGTTCACCTAAAAGTGTATCAAATCGAGATAGGTAGTTTATATATTTTGAGAGAAACGTGCAAACATTGTTGCCGTGTGTGTGCGAGAAAAGGTGAAAAGAAATTGTAGATTCAAAATCAAAGTTTTTAGCCTTTGATGTACTGAAAGATAAATGCCGTGTTTAGCAAATATTTGATGTGTGCTTTGAAAATATATGTAGATGGTAATATGAAAAATTCGACGATTTATCATGTCAAGTTAGAGTTAAAAGAAATTCAGAAGGCCGGAATATTTTTTTAAAAATGTCTAAACGAAATTCCTATTAAATAACAGGAACTTGGGAAAAGAATCAATTGAACTAAATTAGTTTATGTTAATAGGAATTTATGCTTGAGTGTTTGAAATGCAAATATTTTACAATGATGAATTAGCTTTAAGGTATCTGAAATCTAGATGTTGATATTTTACCTATTTGTACTAAAGTCATTGCAAATTTCCGTTTCTATTGTAAACAATTATTGTAGTTTATTAAGAAACATGATGCAGTCTAAAGAATTCATATTTGATGAACTTGAGAGGCTATTTATGTTGACACAACAAATACAGGCAGCTATATTCCGTTTTTGTTTAAATTCCAAACAAGAACTTCGCCTAATTTATGCACAATACTGGGTGGTTTTTGCTGGGATGGTGGTGTACTAGTATAAACAACTAAACACTGACGTCATGGCAAGGGAAACGACTTTGGTTGTATTATTTGCACCAATAGGTAACAAATGAAATTTCCGCAAATCGTAGAATCGGCCACGAAATGTTTGCATATACTCGTAATAGTACACACACACAAGTTATAAAATTTTGGTACTTTTTATTTTCCAATCCGTTCTATTTTTTGCCGGCCTTTTTAATTAGGGGGAAAAATGGTTTTAATGCCAGCCATAAAAAACTTAAAAAAAAATGTTTTCTTCTGGTTTGGTTTTTTCTTTTATTATAACAATTAAATTGGTTTTTACGATATGGATTTACGCAATATATATTTATTTCACTATCGAAATTCCCAATCGGCGCATAATCTAATCATCAGATTATAAACTATTAGTAAATAATTGAATGTTTTCTCTAGCTTTTAGCTGTTCACTTCGGATACGATAACTTCGAGTTCTTCAATTGGTATCTATCATAACCGGTAACTTTTTGCCATGGGAGCCATATCTCGTTTAACTAGACGGTTTACTTTGAGTCAACCGTTTTTCGATGAAAGAAAATTGATTTCAAATCGAACGGCATTATTTCAATTGGATATGGTAAATTCCTAGCAGCATGTGAGCAACTTTACTATTTTTTCTCCTTTGCTGGCTACAAATCGTTTTGGAATGCACATTCGTTTTTTTTTTAATGTTTTAGGACCATACAGTCTTGGCCATAATGTTAATTTTAGAAACAGTGCAGTTGCCGTCTATAAGACCGTAAAAATGTGGCTGAAAATAGTATTGGAATCATTGATTATGTGAGATTGTTTTTTAAAAAATATCCCATCTTTGCGTTGTCAAGCTCGCGCAACGTTGCGTATGAGTAATATCCAATTAAACAAGTTCGCCGCCGTTATTTCCCAGGTGTTGCTGTTAGCAATTGGCCAACAATCCCTCCTTGACAATTCAATTGACTCAGCATGGGTGTGGGAAGTTTTTTCTCCGTCCAATTTTAAGCCTTTTATTTGCGGCTCTCGCGAGTAAAAATTGATTGACGTGCAGCTCTAACGTTGATTACTCATACGCAGCGGTGGCCCAACTGGTTGACTGACTGACAATTGTTGGCCGTTGTTTCATTTGGCTGGCATACTTGTTGCCTCCAGATTCATTCGACATTCGCTGCTGCTTTCCCGCCTGCTTTCCATTCAATTTTCCGCTCTTCCACCGCCGCCTCAAACTGAAAAGCTAAATAAAAGGAAAAGGCAAAGGCGGAAACAATACAGCTAAAGGGTATTGACTACATTTTTAAATACCCTTTACAATCTTGGCGATTCAGCTGGCACAGTTTCACAGCTAGCGCTCGTTTACTCTGGGAATTTTAAGATTATAGTTTGTGCGTTTTAAACCATTAAAAGCCAGCTACTCGTAACTTATCTCAGGTAACAGCCATGGAAAATGATTTCAGCTCAGATGCATTTCAGTGATCTCAATGCGGTTTGTGTGTTTTTCTTCTGCCAAGCATTGGCGGTTATTTTGGTAACTTAAATACTTTGTAACCCTGATCCAAATGCGGCTTAATACCAACGTTAAGCTGGGGGAGAAAAATAAGCAAAACTAAAGTGAGAAATCAGTCTGAATGCTTAAACTCTTGAATGGCAATTGGCCAACTGCCAAATGGCCACGTGTGTCTCGATTTCGCCTTTGCCTCATTTATGGAGAATATATTCCCTCAATTCGTCGTATTCAATTCCCCAATTTATTGCAATCGATGACGCAGTAAGCACATAAAAACTGCCTGCAGACGGAGGGGATTGGGGATTCAATGGTCACAAAAGGCTAATTGCAAGCAGCAAAAAAAACCAAACCAAACAAAACAAAACCCGAGCGTCATTTTGGCCCGGTCTGCATTATGCTGCCGTATGTTGGCCTTTATGTTGCCGTTGTTGCCCCGCTTCGCCATGTGTAAATAGTTCAATGAACTTTTCATTTTATGCTTCATTTGCGACTCGAACAAAGCGAAAGAAACAAGGCAGCAATGGCGAGAATTCCAAGTCGAAGATGCGAATACCCTATGCGTGAAAAGCAGGGCAACTAAACAATATTATGCGTGAAATACACTGCATAGCATATTGGGATTTAAATATTCCCTTGCCATGATAGCCATTTAAATAATAAAAATAATATATAAAGGGTTATTATGTTGCTTTTGAAGCTTTTTCAAGCGCTTAAATTCAATGCAGCAAGGCTAGAGCATTGCAAGTGTTAAAAGTACTTTGGCGAATTATTGACGGCTTTTCCTATCGCCTTCGTTTTGTTACGTAACCCCGAGAAAAGCTGAAAAGCCGAGGCAAAAACAATCAGCAAACCTGTGAGCCGACTGTTAAGTTGACAGCTGCAATCTTATTTGGGGTAACACAAATACGATCATTGTTTCTTTTGCCGTTTTGTCCATTCACAAAACTTACCATTTACATAAACCCATTGTGTATATGGTATACATTCGCTCGAACTGCATGCCAAAATAAAAAAAAGAAATGGCAAACGACATGGAGAAATATGCGTATATTTCACTATTTTGGACTGCCCAAAAACAGGATGCACCCGTTTATCTAATTAGTTATTTATTTTGTATTTCCCGCACTTAGCGACACAGAGAGTGAGCGATCCCGCCATCATGAGCAAGAAGCCGACAGCCGGACCGGCGCTCCACAAGGTCATCATGGTGGGCAGTGGCGGCGTGGGAAAGTCCGCCCTCACATTGCAGTTCATGTACGATGAGTTCGTCGAGGACTATGAGCCCACCAAGGCCGATAGCTATAGGAAAAAGGTGAGTCCGTCCTTTTCTACTACCATCAAGGAACTACGTGAATATTTACAACATTTATCGGATATTAAACCATACAATAGGTTGTGCTGGACGGCGAGGAAGTACAAATAGATATATTGGATACGGCTGGACAGGAGGATTATGCCGCCATCAGAGACAACTACTTTCGCAGCGGCGAGGGTTTCCTCTGTGTCTTCTCCATCACAGACGACGAAAGCTTCCAGGCAACCCAGGAATTCAGGTGAGTGTGTCAAGCGTTTCTCTGGGCGCATTCCCCCACCCCCCTGGCTTTCCCGCATTTTCCACCATTTTCTAACATTTTCCACATTTTCCTGCGGTCTCTTGAGGGTCTCGAGTTTTGCTTTCCTCTCAGGCTGACAAGTGTCACGGTTTTATTTCGCACACAAGCTTTTCAGTTTTTTTTTTCTCATCTTTCTCTTATGATTCTGTGGTGCTAATTAGTCACACAAGTTGTTCAGTTGGTTTTTTTGCGATGTGTAATTAATCTTTATTCATTTCTTCGTTTGAAATAACTTGATTTTTGGGCTTTGAGTAGGCAAAGATTGTTTATTACTGCGCATTGAAAACTAATTACTAACTCCAGCCGCAATCCTTACTTATGCCACATCAGGCATCAAAGTCGGTAGTATGCCATATCATGTGCCAACTCCTGATAATTCCACCTATGAATATGCCACTCCGTTGCTGTAACTCCCACTTAAAGCGCCCTTTTCCATCGACCTAATTGAGTATTCAAACTTGGCAACTTAATATTGCTGCCGGCACATAAATATGGCTGAAAAATTGTTATTAGACATCGACAGCGTCGTTAGGGTGTGACTGGCCTGGTCTATACATATGTATACTATTTATGCGTTCGCCTGTCCACTTCAGTGTGTTTACATAAATACATATACAAGTATATTTGCTTGGCTCTGCCTTCTAAGTGGAGTGACACACGTACTGAGTCACTTCTATCGAAGTGATGATAAGTGCGCGCTTATCTATCCATTAGTTTTGTCAAACTTTTTTATTTTTAACATTCGCAAATCCATTGTGGATGCTAACGCTATGGGGGCAATCATTTGCAATGCTATATTAATGAAACGCTTGATGTTGATCATTTGTTTATTATTTGCAGAGAACAGATCTTGCGGGTGAAGAATGACGAGAGCATACCGTTCCTGCTGGTGGGCAACAAGTGCGATCTGAATGATAAGCGCAAGGTGCCGCTGAGCGAGTGCCAGCTGAGGGCGCAGCAGTGGGCGGTGCCCTATGTGGAGACCTCGGCTAAAACCCGCGAAAATGTGGACAAGGTGAGTGGTGGTGCTGATGCCATCGAGATGAGTTGGTTCTATCACTCCAGAGGAGAAGGAGTGGCCAACCCGCCCAAGCACAGAAACCAACGATACGATTCCAACTGTCCACGAAATGAAATGAAAACTCTTTTGGAAATTGGCAAGCTAAAATGTTGTATCGAACAAACGAAAAAAGCACGTTTTTTTTTTTTTTGTTTAACTAGTTTTCATACATCGTTTATTTCATGTGATTTGTTTTTCTTTAGTTTCACTTACGAACGAAAACATCACTGAGCATTCTCAACTTTTTCGCTAGAAAAACACTTAGTGTTGTTTCCTTATCAAGTTGTTTCAATTTATAGAGACTGTCTGTCACAAGACCAACATTCACATTCATTCACTCAAGAATTTCTGCCAGTTAAAGGGGGATTTATAAGGGCGATGATTCTGTAAAAACAAATATAATTTGAATACGAATCATAGCGAATCGTATAAGCTTGTTTAGAGAAAATTTTTTTTAAATATGACGAAGCTTGATAGGCTTGTTCTCTGCCATTTCCTCTCAAATACAATCTATCTTTATGGTTACACACTCTCATTTCTAGCGTTTTATATTATAATGATAAGAGGCGTCGTTCAGATAACAGTGCCATTGAAAATTCGTTTGAGCTTTTAAAAAAATATAAAAATCTAATCAGGAAACAAACCATCAGGGGAAAATCCAATGATAAATTATATTGTAATAGGAAACAAATGAGTAAATGGTTTTTCATATATATCATTTTAAATAATATTATTTATACTTATATGTACTGAAATTGGATTCCCATAATGTCGGCTAATGTTATTGAAATTACACATTTAAGAATGACAATACTCGTAGATTTCGGTAGACCAGTGCTCAACAAGTATTCTCATTTGAAATGTCTCGTTTTAGTTCAACCACACTTTTTGTAGAAAGAAGTAAAGATAGCATTAATGTTTCCTTAGAACATATGTGTTACCTACTTTAGCACAACTACACAGCGAACTACACACAAATATTCACACAGCTACAACATCTAAACGCACTGCCAAATATCGTAGCCCATTTTACCATGCTTTCAACGTGGTTGCCTTTAATCATTTAAGTTTTTTTTTTGGCTTAATTTGATAGTTGTATTTTGACAATTGCCAAAAGCTAATAGTTCTTTAGCTGAAAGGAACAAAGGATGTGTGTGTAATTATGTTGGTTCGGTCCTTGATCATCTTAATTTATATAATAATTTGCGATTACTAATTGACTCTGATGCTGACTTTGTATATGACTCTATTCCCAATCCACAATTACAGGTATTTTTTGATTTGATGCGCGAAATAAGATCACGAAAAACCGAAGATTCAAAAGCCACGAGCGGGCGTGCTAAAGATAGATGCAAGAAGCGGAGACTTAAGTGTACCCTACTTTAGGCATTAGGTGCATACAACTATTCCACTATGAAATACGATACCTACCTATGTATACCTACCTATATGAATATATGAACACACCCACCTAACCCGTAGTCAATATAATTTGTTGATTTTAACCCCGCTTAATTGCTTTGGGCACTTATTCTTTCCTTTTACTAATAACTTGATATTGGTTGAGTTGTACGATATATTTCTTACAAATCTGCGCTTGTTGAATTTATTTATATTGCTTTTGTATTATATTTCGTTTGTCAAAACTACACATGAAACTAACAAACGAGGTATTTTTTTCTAAAGTCACGAACTTTTAATGAGCAATAAGATTTTAATTTCAATAAGACTAACACGGGATATATTTGGAGTAGAGGGTGGAAAAACATCGATAGTAATTTAAATAGTGTTGAATAGCAATATTGGGTAACATTTACTATTAATGGACTTTATAACATACGCTTTGTATAAATGCATAAACATTTTGTCAGGGTAAAAATCTAAAAAAGTCTGACAGGTTTTTAATATCAGCTACTTTTCTATTATGCAAAATAATATATGTGATTGCAGTGAGAATATTTTGCAAATGGACATTAACACTTTAAACAAAAATACATACATCTGTACAAACACATACTTGCTTATACAAACACTTATTTTTTTTTAAAGGAGATTGTTTCGAATTCTTTAAAGCATTTCACTTAAGTTGAATTTGCTGTTGGAATATGCCTGAAATTTTCACTTACATTATTGGTTTGGTCGTATTTCTTAAAGACTTTTAAATTATTTAAACCGTAACTATGTTTCCTACAAACTACAACGGAAACTATAAAATCCACGATTATTTTATTATCCATTTTGTCCGGAAACTAACTTTGTATCGCTTGTGAGAAGCCGGTTCTCTGGTGAATAAAGATAGTTTAAGACACTATTTAAACCTTGCTTTCCTATTGATCTGTTCTACTTTGGTTATAGCTACTTTTCAAAATTTCTGTATTTCTAGAAAAACGATTTAACCCCACTACCTGAAATAATTATAACAATCAATTGCAGCAACAAATAAATCACTAATAAATTATTTGTATATGTCTAGGTATTTTATGATCTAATCAGGGATATTTCATCGCGTAAAAAACAACGTCAGACGGACGTGAAACAGCCGCCGAAGCCCAACTCTCATTGCTGCCAACTGCTGTAGGATGATGAATAGGAAGCGACAAGAACCATACGATGAACAACAAACAACTGCAGCAGCAACAACAACAACTTGGAACACAACAACGGCCACACGGATAACACCAACACAGAATAGAAGATGGAGAGCAGAACGATATATGTTTATACAAGTTAATTAACTTAGAGAACACACCCTCCCCCAGAACACAAACAAGCAGCTACAAATATCAAAATTATTTGCCACACTCTCACACACCGAACTCAAAACACGTAATCCAAGTTAACTTGCATTGTAATATACATAAATATATGATTTAGGCAACCAATTTTTCCCAAAAACATCAAAGAGAGAAGCACACAGACAGGCAGCATACAAATTCTGTCGTTTATTTTTAGTTATTTCTTTGGAATCATCGATGTTTGTGTTGCCTCCGTACAATAACAATAAAATGTTAAAACTAAAACCTAAAGCTAAAGCTTAAACATATAAAATATAATCAATCTTAGACACCTAAAAAACAAAACCCATAATAATTATGCAATTTCAAATTTGCTACAGATATTTCTCTTGTTTAATTATTATAATACGCATACATTTTTTTGTAATATTTTAAAGTTTAATAGCAAAATGCAAAACCACACAAAACCAACAAGAAACCACACAGAAAAGCTTTTTATAAATATATCTAAATATATATAAAATAGTTTAAAGTATAAAACACTTCAAATGCTAGCGAAGAAACAACAGAGGAAAAAAAGGAATCAAAAAGTATCTCCGATTATTAATTGTAAACGAAGAGAATCGAAACAAATTTTTAATGCAATTTTTGTAATTTTCTAAAACCGAAAGCAAATGAGTAGGGATTTATAAACAACAAAATAAAAAAACGAGAAATGGTAAACTAACGTTTCTGACACGTTTTGGAGACTTTCCTTTACTAATAGTAATTTTCTTTGCCCTGAAACACAACCAATATATATATATATGTATGTATGTTTAGCAATTACTCCCGATTGATTTGCTTCATTGTTTACTTTTGTAAAACTGCATTCTGTATTGTAATATTTAAGCTATTATTATTATGATAATTATTATTATTAAATATATAAGTTATATATGCAATCAAATGATGGTTGGTTCAATTTTTGTATGAAGCATATTCCTACTTTCCCCTGTGAAATTTTGTGTAACACACACTCAACCAACACACTCAACCATTTGTTTTTATTCCTCCATACAGACACGCGAATATCCAAAAACAAAATCAAACAGCCGCATTTCTTTTTTATAATATATACATGCATGTATATAAATATAAAAATTACAATTACGAGAGTTAAAAATGTCGATTGATGGAGTGTACGTTTAGCTTGACTCAAAAATAAAACGAAAAATATGAAAACCAAACAGGAGTATTTTACCATTTTTGGCCTAAAAGTATGCAGTGTCATGGAAATGTACCGTTAAACAAACTGAAATTGCCGTCTGCTGAATGCAAAACAACTGATCTTTGGCCACCTACAAAAATTCCTGTTCACCTGCTTGCTCGAGATAGAAAAATTACCAATTTGCTTCAAAATGTGCATTCGCCGCTACATTTTTTCTCCGCTTAATGGCAAAATTCCGGTCTGGAGGCACCAGGCGAACAGAAATTGCCGCAGGTGTCAGCTGTTGGCACCGAATTGAACGAAACAGCTGATACTTTTCATGATGGCTGCCCTGTATCATGCTATTGACCAATAGGATACAAGGGCGAAGGAGCGAAACCGTTACTTTGCAAAAGAACGCAGATCAGAGATGCGCAATCGCATTGTTCTTGAGGTGTTTCACGAGTTTGTCACGGCATAATTGTAATATCCCATGTGGTTGTTGGGGTCGTGACAAGAAAATCAGTTACACGCGAGCATCTCTATTTTAACAAACAAAACCGATCGTGGGCCACCTACTGAAATTTATGTTCGCCTGGTATCTTAAATCGGGAATCTCTTCGATTTCGCGGAAATTTCAGCCGGCCGGGATTTTTGTCCGGATCATTTTGTCAGTAAAATTGAGCACTTTTTCGTTTAGCACACCAGGCTAACAGAATTCTTAGCAGGTGTCAGCTGGTTGCACCAGCTGGTTGTAGGCCAATGGGGGGATACCATCTCCATGGAACGCAACCGTTGCTTTGAAACACGAGTTATGCACGATAGGCGCACGAGGCACAAATGTTTTTACAAATTTAAAAAATGTTCATAAAGATTTGGTAAAAATCCAGAAATGAAACGATTGTTCAATATTTTTGCTTTGAAATCTCTTTTTTATTTTTTTTTTTATGCATTTTCTTTTTTCGTTACACATTTACATTTATATTATATATATATATATCATTCTTCATATATATTCTTTTTTTACGCTTTTTACTTCTTGCTATAATCTAACAATTTTGTTGTTTTTTTGTTTGTTTTCAATTTTGTATGCATTTCTTTTAAAATTAATTTTACAAGTTACATTTACAGCTAAAAGGTTTTCTCTTGATTTCTTTTTGTTTGAAAATGTTGTATGGTTTTTGTAATAATCTTTTCTTGTTTTTTTGCTGTCTCTATAAATATAATTTTTTTGTTTATTTTTGTATGTGTTTTTATCCTGTTGTTTGTAAGAATTAATGATAGTTATGATTTGCAATACTCCCGATTTGATTTTAACTTAAAGAAAAAATTTGTTTAATCATTAATAATTAGTTAAGTTAGGCTTAAATTTCTAAAATGAAATCGTTTTGTTGTTTTCCTTGTTTGATTTTTTGTTTAGTAAAAATTACGCAACAAAAATATTATTTTCAATCATTTGTTACTTGCCTACTTACAAAGGATAATTTAAAAAAATAATAAGAAAAAGCATATTTAGAGGTTTTTAGTTAATACAACGAAAAAAAAACATAAATTAGATAACATAAAACCTAGTTTTAAAGTTATGGGTCATAATTCAAAATTTTGTGTTCGTATTATTATTTTTATACATTTTTTTTATGATTAGTAACAGAAATCGAGTGACAGACACAGGCATGTAATCCTATATAGTTAATTCAATTTTCTCTTTCAACTTATGTGACTAAAGCATTTTACATTCAAACACATTTACACATACGTTCCACACACATATACATATATATATATTTCTAGATTATAGATTTCGATTTTGTATGATTATTTATTTACTTCTGTTCTTTTTATAGAAAACATTCTTGTGTGAAAATAATTTTTGATTTGCTGTCCCTTTGGTGGAAAAAATCTTTCTTAAAAAAAAACTAAAAGTCCCCCGCGATGACAGAAAAAAACTTAAGGCTTCACAGTTTTCCACTTTTTCTTTTTGAAGTATTTACAAAAAAATATTGAAAATTTCACGCTATATAAACCTGCGCACTTTAGTTCGTGTATACAAATATATAGTTAGATGATATACAATTTCATATTCATGCCCGACGTAAAAAACGTTCAAATATTTAGGGGAGTAGAAAGAGACAGCATGCTCTTTCCATCTCCTTCTGCCCATTGTTATTGTTCAAGAGATATCTTTTGCTAATACTTTTATCAATCCACTTTTACTTCCCTAGGTATATATATGTGTAATATATATGCTAAGACATACACATTGAAAAAAATGCTCCAAAATATAACATTCAGTTTTGTGTTACTGCTTTTTTTTTTCTTTTTTTTTTTTGCTAGATTTCTTTTCCTTATCGTGATAATTGTGTTGTCTATTTCTAAACTATTTTCGTTCTTTCTTTGCCATTCCTTGTATATAAATATTTTTTTGTAAGCTTTTCTTGGTTGTGGGTGTGTTAATTTTGGGAATTTAGCTGCTCTGTTCTTACTTTGATTCCGTTTCAATGGCATTAAGGCAAAAATTTAAATTGCATGGGAAGGTGTGGCTTTACGCAATCACAAAATATTATATGATAATGTCTTATATGCGTGTCTTTTCAGAACAAGATCAAAACAAAGAAAATTTCTCTAGAAATAAAAAAAAAAAAAATTTGTAAAATGGGGAGAAGGGAGTGTGTTGGCTTATGTTAGCTTATTGCACTATTACACTTTTTCTACGACGTTTTCTTTGCTTGCTACATTAATATCTAATTCAAATGGGTATTACACAGATACAACACTCCGTCGCCAGCGTTTAATTTAATTTTACATGCTATTGGTTAATGTGTGGTTTAAAACGCTCACATATTTGACATACAAGCACTCTAATTTGATATATTTCTATTGATTTGATTTCTGCTTTGTTGTTGTTTAATGTTTCGCTTTTGAATGAAGAAGAATGTATATCCAAGAGAAATTATTTCGGTTTAAGTTTTGGTCAAGAAAGGAGACATCTATCTGATTTCGTTTTATCATTTTTTTTTCTTTGCCACATGCATTTTGGAAATCCTGCTTTTACATATTTCTAATTTATAATCCTCTTCTTCTTAGTTTTAGGTATGTGTATATATATATATATATTTAGAGATATATATATTTATAAAGCGTTACCCATTGGTGGTTTCTGTTTCAACAGCGCATTTGGTTTTGTTTTTTTTCTTTTTTTTTTTCTTTCTTTCCTGTTTTACATTTAACTGTGCTATTCTTGGTGTGTTTCCTCTTCTCTTCTCTAGGTTTACTTTAAAGTAGTATACAATTAGATATATAGTTTATATAGTATATATGCAGTTGATGGGTCTGTGTTGTAGGGTTTGTTTGTTGTGGGGCTTTAAGCTGTTGTTGTTGTGATTGAGTGCCGGTGTCGTTGCTGTTTTGTATTCATATAATTGGTCTTCCCTTGTTGTTGTTGTTCTTGTTGTTGTTGGTTTATTGTTGGTGTTGCTAGCGTTTTCCTCCGCGTTTTTTGTTGTTGCTTTAAAATTATTCATTAAAAAATAATTTTTCTCTTCATTTTGTTGATTTTGAAAATCGATGCTAAGTGTTGGGCGGAACTGTTTGATAGCTTTTGTTTTTTTTCTTTCTTTATATTTTTCCTACAAAATTACAGCTTCAATGACTTGGTTTTGTTGTTCGCTGCCTGTTGTTGTATTCATTTTCAATGTGTGCAAAAGTGTGGAAAATACGCATGTTTATCATCTGGCTTTAAAAAAGTGTTTTCAGAGTGCCTTCCTCTGGTTGTTACTTTCTCATAAGGTGGGAGCTGTTGCACACAATTCAGTTGTTGTTGTTTTCGTTATTATTGTAGTAATTTGTTGTTGTTTGCTTGTGGTTATGGTTGTTGGGTTACTGTGCTGTTGTCCCAGCACTGATCATCAGGAAATTGTAATTGCGATCCTTATCGGCCTGATGGAACCCTGTATAAAGTTTACAACCCGTATTAGTACTTGTTCAACTTCTTATTATGTGTATTCACTATTCACTGACTGATAATGCATCTATTCACTGACTGATAATAATGCATCTCCAGAAATACTTGTGTGTATAAATGTATATATCCATTCCAGCAATGGAACTATACATAATTAATTGCAAGTGCCAGTCAGTGGATCTTTAGATGGATCGTGCGTATTCCCTTACCATTCGCTGACCCTCCGCCAGCTGGCACAGCAGCGGCCACAATGGTGGCACCGCCATTCAAAGCGTTGGCACCTCCGCCCGCACCGCCATGGAATTTTAGACCAACACTACGGGCACCCACTAAATGGGCGGTGGCCGTGGGCGTGATAATCTGCTGCGGTTGTTGTTGTTGTTGTTGTTGTTGCTGTTGTTGCGTGGGCGAAGACGAATTGGACGACGAACTGGAAGATGATGATGATGATGAGGAGGAGGATGAGGACGAAGACGATGAGGACGATGATGAGGAGCCGCCTATAAACGAGGCCGACGACGAGACGCCACTGGACGAGGAGCTGGGCGACGGCGATGGAGTCGATGGCGTTGGCGAGCCGCGTGTAATGGTGGCTCCAGTTGTTGCTCCTATTCCCGATGGACTGACCGCTGGACTGCCGTTGTGGTGGTGATGGTGGAGTTGCTGTTGCTGGCCTGCCGTTGGTGAGATTGCCAGTATATTGCCATTGCTGCCATTGCCGTTTTTAATTGTCATGATGCCCATGGCCGGGGTCAGTGTGGTTGTTGCCCCTCCTGTATGGTTGCCATTGTGTTTGCTGCTGGCTGCTGCGGTCGCTATTGCTGGTGTGGCATTAGTTTTGTTTATCACAGTTGTTAGCTGCTGCTGGTTGAAAACAACATTAAATCATTAGAAACATATAGCTTGCGGTGATTCGCGTTCAGGGAATGCAAACTGAATGGATGCATTAAGAAATATGTTCGTTAATGTATTTCGTACAGCATTCAGCATTCACTTTACATCCCCCATCAGGTGGTGACATATTCATACCCCAGTGGCACAGACGTTGCCTGCATCAAATAGAATGGTGGTACCAGTTCCAGTGCGACCACTGGCCGCCGTTGGTGGTGCTGGTGTGGCTGTTGTTGCCAGGCAAACTGCTGGAAAAAGAGAGAGAAAGCGCGAGATTAGCGTATGCATGTGGCGAGAATCGAATTTCGAATTGGTTTGCAGTTGCGTAACCCGAAGGTCGTTCGACCCTCAAGCGCATGCAAAACTTGATCTACATTCGGTCGTATAGATCGAGCTGGGATCTAAGATGCAAAATGCAAGATGCGACAGAGGAGAGAGGAGTTCGAACCTTTGTCGGCCTGTGGAATGCTTTGCTGATCGGTGGGCGGCGTTTCCCTCCTTAGAGTCAGTTGCTTCAGCCGCTTCTGCAGCTCAATCCTCTGGTTGGCCAGTTTCTCTAACATCGTCTCCTGCTCGGAACCATACTTAATCAAGTCCTGCAACAGAGAAAGGTGTAACATTAGTCAATGTCTCTGTTCTGCATTCAATCGTGAACACACGCTTACCTTAACATATTTGTTGGCCGTGTCGAGTATTGTCAAGTTGGATGTTTTCTTTCGGTCCTCCTCCCTCATGGGCAGCACCTTCTTGAGCACATCGTAGCACTCCTTCAGCTGGGCGCGCCGCTCCTTTTCCAGCTTGTTGTGCACCTCCCGTGTGCCCGCTCTGTAAGATATCATATTATATCCCCTTATTAGAGAGAACTTAAGAAAAATAGAAGGCGAACTTACCCATTACTATTGGAACTGGTGGTGCGTCTGCGTCCGCCGTGTCCGGTGTGATGATGCGCCGATAGCTGGGAACCCGCCGCTGGCGCCGAGGAGGCAATGCTCATGGTTACCGCTACTGATCCCGCACCACCAGCCGACGTGGACGCTGAGTCGACAGTGTCCGTGGGCAAGCCATAGACTACGCCGCCAATGGCAGTCCTCATATAGCTGTACTGCTGCTCGATCTGCAGATGGTTGCCATGTTGCTGCGAATGCTGCGGATGATCCTGCTGCTGATCCCTGGCTGCTGAAACATTGGACAGTGAGTAAGAGCGTGTCCGTGAGTTGCTGGTGTCCACTTTTCTAGTGGCTGCTGGCGGCGGTGTTAGGGAAATTTCCGCCGGTCGCAAGCTGCGCAATTGCTGCAGTGATTGCTGTTGCTGGCGTTGCCTTTGTAAATTCTGCATTAGCTTTTTGATCCTCGCTTCGGGATAAACAACGCCCGGGGTATCGGCAGAGTAGCCATTGGGATTCGTGGGATTCGTGGGAGTGGGATAAACTCCGTTGGCATCTGATACCACTAGAAATTTGGGCGGTATTTCGGCGATGGTGCCCAGTTTGTGCTTGGAAGGATTGGATGCTGTTGCTGTTGATGCAGCAGCAGATGCTGTTGCGGTTGTTGCACTCGTTGTTGTTGCTGCCGCTGCCAGCAGCATAAAGTCTGTGGAGGCGGGCGGGGAAGTGGTAATTGAGGGGGTGCTTGTGGGGAGGGAGGTGGTGCTTGAGGCGGGTGTAACTGAGTTTCCAATCAACTTCGTTAATATAGCTGGTGTTGTTGCTATTCTTGTTGTCGTTCTCCCCGCAGCACTGTGCTGTTGTTGTTGTTGTTGTGGGGGATGGGTATTGTTGTTGTTGTTGTTGTTGATTGAGGAACTATCGTCCTCTATTAATGGCCGAAAAGTAAAGAAGAAATAGAAGAAAAACCAAAATAAAAGACAAATCAAAACAGAGAAAAATGGGGAGAGAGCGTCATGGGGAAAATCAATGAAAATGAGTGAAAAACAACCAAGTGTGTACTATAACTATAAATGAGATAAATGCAGCCACCCTTGCCATTAAACCATTTCCCTTAATAAACTTCCTCATTTCTTTGAAGGTCTGTTAATAAAATGTAATAAGAAAATTAGAACGTTAAACCCAGCTATCCTTAATTGTAACACCTTTTTTTTTCCTATTTAAAAGTCGTTTCAATTTGTCAGGCACAAAAAGCAATCTATTGTTTGTATGTATGTTTAGAAATTATTTAACTCATTTCAAAACTATAGAAATTCTAGGAAAACGTCATGTACTATACTAAACGAAGAGTTGGGCTAAAATCAGAGCACAATGCGGCGAAAAAAAAAAACACAAAAGCCGTGTTTAATGAATGCAAATGAACTCGGGTTAAATACAAAAGACAACAACACTGAGCCAACAGCCAACAATCAACAATCAAAAACCAGGGGCGATGAAGGTCCTTTGGTGGGTTAATTATATACGATTAAGTGCGGATGTGTGGGTATATGTGTGTGTATAGTGTGTGTATAGTGTGTGTATAGTGTGTGTACGTGTGTGTGTTAGCCATGAATTAGTTACGCATTCGTGGAAAGTCTAATGCAAATTTCCACGAATCAGGTCCAAACACAAGAGTAGACAACCAGCAATCTAGTTTATTATGCATTATTAACGTTTGTTGTTGCGCTCTATTCTTATGGTGGTGGTGGTTGTTGTTGTTGTTGTGGATAGTGGGTGTTTGGGTGAAGTGGGCCGAGACACTAAATTGAAATTAAGGCGATAATATCTAGTGAAAACGCCTAATAATAGGTATATACTACCCATTTTGTAATGAGCCTTGGGCCTAGTTCGATTAAAAAAAAAAAACACTTTTTAAACAAGATATGGAGGAAAAAGGGTTACAATTTGTCCACCCATTTGGCGTAGCATACTTTCCAGGCAGATAAATGCCAAGCAGATTATAAACGCCCCCCTTTCTAACTCTTTCTCCCTATCTATCTCTCTCTCTCTCTCTCTCTCTCTCTGTGCAGTTGCGTATGTTTTCATTTTCCGTAGTACTCTGTGCACATGTTTTCTCCCTTTTCTCCCATTTGTTGCCACATTATTGAGCACCCACATCACGGTGCCACGTGACGAAAGCGCACGTGGCTGCAGCAACAACATCGGTGGCACTCTTATTAACCCACGGTATCACACTCGACGATTTACGACTGCACAGCGAGAAGCATTGCTTGCCGGTTTTAAATAGCCATCCATTATATTCATTATATTACTTATGTATGGTCGAATCATGGTTAGTGCAATTTTGATATACATATAAATCTGCCTAAAATCAATATTTCTTTTTGTGTACCATAGCCATAATGACGATACATCCACTTCTTTTTGGGAGGCGGAGGTCTCGTTTGATGTTGCTGCTGCTGTTGTTGTAACTGCAGCAAACTTTGCAGAGCACTCAATTGTTCCAGCAAGTCGACAGTAAATTGATTTTGCTGCCGTTTCGATGCGGCAATAAGTAAGTTTTCGACTGGTTGCGATGACATCGTTTCTGCTGGCTGGAAAATCGAGTGGAAACGCAGTTTTCCCGTTCGCTAATCAACGACAACTGAGCTGAGCGGAAAAACATGAAGCAGTGAAGAGCAAGTCTGGGGCCCAGGAAAATTAAAGCATCAAAATCGAAGAACCGTCTGGTAAATTTGCATTTACCAGATAATGCAAATCGAATGGAAAACACAGTATATTATTTGCATATTACCATGAATACGGTGTGGCTACTGCAAGATTCAGTTTTTTATTTAAGATCTTTTCTTTGGTCAATTTCAGTACCACAATTTGCATTGCCCGCTTTTCGGCGCACTTCTTAAGTGGCCAGTGGCTAACAGCAAAATAGAACCAATTTTTGGGTTAATCAAGGGATTTATTTATGTACATTATTATTTACTTAGTTGAATATTTTTTTTTTTATATTGTATATTACAAAAAATCTCTATAAAACAGATCTTCGCATACTAGTTTTTCACAATTCCCCATTTCTAATATTAGAAAAAGTTATAAGAAACAATAGGAAATGTAAAAATAAAAAAATATAAAAAAAACAAAGAAAAGAAAAACAAAAACAAAAACCGGAACAAGGAAAAGAAAAAGACGCCGAAGAGAGAGGCTAAACAACAGAGGCAGCTGTCTAAATATTACACATGCAACGCCAAAAGAGACGGCGCATCAAATAATCAAATTTTGTAAATGTGATGAAAACAAAAAACATATAGGCCTTAAAGAAAGGCCAAAAAAATAATAAGAAATGGGCACGGAAAAGGCAGGCCGAAAACAAAAACACAAAATGCGTACAAAGTTCATTGACTTTGCTTTACACCAACAGCCGGAAAAGAACGCCAGTGGAAGAGAGAGAGGGAGAGAGAGAGCGATTGAAGAGAAATGAGCTCAAAGAGAAACGGCTCACGTGGAACTCTAGCTCTTTTTTCCGCGTACTTATGACTAACGCAAAAGAGAGGGCGAGAGAGAGAGAAAACCACATGACGTGACCCCAAACAACAACAACAGCAACAAGTACAAGCGTACGTGCGAAAAAATACGAACGAAGCGCATGACAAAAGCGAAAGAAGACAAAGAAAAAAACAGCGCGAAAAAAGTAAAAAAAAAAAAAAAAAAGTAACCAAGATGAATAACGACAACAAACTACACACACATGTTGATAAAAACAGCGAAAAACCAAAAACCGAAATGAGCACAGCAAAAGGCAAAAGAAAACAAAATACACAAACTCAAAACACAGTGGATCTCTTTTGGCACACAAATTATTATTATAACACAATTTCTCCCCTACATTTTTAATTTTCTCCCTATTTCGTTCATAATTTTTTACATTCTACTTCTATTTTCATTTCCAATTCTATCCATTTCGCTTCCTAAGATACATATTTAATGTATCTGTGAGTTAATATCTTTGATCAGTTAATATCTTAATATCTTACAACTTTGAATTTTATCTAATTTAATATACCGAACTCCATTCGATTTTCAATATTTTCACTGTATTTTTTGACGTAGCAATTTTTGTTTCCGATAGTCAAGGCAACAAAAGAAAGAAGAGGCAAAAACAAAAACGCAGCATGACAATTTAGCACATGCCAATTGGGCAGCGGAGCCGGCAGCGGCGCTGACGTCGCCGCCAGCATCGAGCTAAAAATATAACAGTACCTGCTGCTTGCCACGCTTGCAACCTGTGCCAAAATGAGAGCGAAGGAGAAAGAGAGGGAGAGAGAGCACCGTGTTGTTGTGGTCTTTTGGGGTTTTTATTTAATTTAAACTTTTTATTTTTTTGGTACAGTGCACGCCCACGCAAAATGCAGTCGACGTCGCAAACAAGGTCAAAACAAGTTTAAATGCAGCAAAAGCAAATGGAGAAAGAGAGCAGAAACGGTTTCGTTTGGTAAAGGCGACCAAAGTGTCTGGTTTGAAATGTGATCAAGTGCTCGTCTACCTAGTGGTTATTTATTTTCTCGATATATGTACATAGCTCGATATAAATATTAGTTTAAATGTCTATAAGCTTGCATACCATCTGTGTCTGTGTCTATATATGCATATGTACTATGTACACGAGTTTATTGGAGGTTATCGCCTGCGATCGACCATTTGGCTACCCCTAACCACTATAATCAATCAAGTTAAAAATTGAGCAACGTTATCTGTGATATTTTTATCACCAATACATACATATATGCAAAGGGACATTTGGCAACGCATTCGAGTTAAGAAAGCAACTAAAGCTTGTTTGATGTTTCTTTTTGGAAACTTTTGTCGCCTGACGAGAGAGCCCAACAACAGTTAGCAGTGGAGCTGAGCAGCTGATGATGGTGTTGCACCAGAGAAGAGTGTTAGACACGATGCTCGCACAGCAGTGGGCAGCAAAGTAGTAACACCTTGGCTGAATGTGATGTTGATGATGGGCGATACAAATTGGCTGTTTGAGACTTCGTTGTGGTAAGTCTGAGTTTTCCAAACCAATTGATTTCCAATTGGTTTGGAAATTACAAGCTCCTACTTGAGTTCTGAGATTCATGAAGGGTCGGGGCAAGCATGTCTTAGGCCAGAGGTCAAAGTGAAGGGACTTACCCGTGACGTGGGCGCGACCTTCGCTGTGTCCATTGGCAACTCCGGTGGCGGTAAACTCGTAATCGTGGGCAGCGGCTAATTGACTGCGAGGACTGCTGTGACCGTTGCTCAGACCGTTCCCGTTCGCATTGGCGCTAACGTTGGAGTTGGCGCTCGCGCTGCCGACGCCGGCGGTACCGTTGCTATTTCCGTTCGTGAACGGTGGCGTTGCAATAATCCCGTTACTGCTGCTGCTGCTATTTCTATTGTGCTGGCTGCTATTGTTGTTGTTGATGATGGAGATGCTCTTGCAGTGGACCAACTGCTGCTGCTGCTGTTGGGGCAGTGCCACGCCCACGCCGCCTCCCGCCAGCGGGAGCTTCTCATGCTGCTCGAGATATTGAGCCGCCTCGATGAGCGCCACAATGCCCCCTTTCCCTGACATAGCATACACAAACTACCGCGCTCCTCTTCTCGCACACACACACGCGCACACACACACAGAGACGCACACGGGCACACACGCACGCGACAAGGACGACGAACACGTAGCACAAGAAATATATGTATATATATAAAAATATATGTTTGAGAAAAAACACCAATATCGTACACCACAACGGAAAAGGACAACGGCGACGAGTACACGCGAGCAGGATAGCGGGAGCTTCAAGTCGCGACACGTTTTCAGTTATTGTTGAAATAGTTGTTGAATCGGTGTTGTGAATTATTTCAGTTCTTAGTTTTTGTACAAATTTTGCTTGAATGATTGTTGAAAGTAGTTAAAATTTGGTTTTTGTTTCAAATGTTGTTTACAAAATGGTTGCTAATTGGCGGTTGATGGTTGTTGTTTCGAAGTTGGTGAGTTTCTTGCCGCTTCAGATGTTGATTGTTCGGTGGTTCTAGCTTTCAGTTGCTTGTGATTTGGGCCTTTTGTTTCTAGTTAATTTGGCTGCAATGACAGAAAAATTCGTAGTCGCTGTTAGTTATCTGTGAAGCCTATAATATCTATATACATTTAATTTTTTAACTTAACAAGCCTAAGATGCTTATCGATTTCTATACCGCCTAATTGGCGGTAAGCTGAAAACCTGATTAATACTATTTAGCACGCAACGCCACACACAAAAAAAAGGTCACAAAATCCGGCAATAAATAAGGTTGCTTGACATCTATATAGTTGGTAATAAGTTCGAATTGGTAGACTGCAAGACTACTTAGTTTATTTGTTTCTTCTCTCTCCACTCTGCCACCAGCTGAGCAGCGCTGCCAGCGTCGACGTCAGCAGCTGTTGCGTTTGCGCTAATTGTGCACAGCTGCGTGGCAACAATACAGACAAAAATACCAAACAAAATAGCAAATAAAGAGAGAGAGAGAGAGAGAGAGGTGGAGAGAGCCCCAACCAACAAGTTGCAGTCAACAGAAAACGGATAGCTATTGAGGGGAACAAACGAGACACACAGGTACAGAGTGCGCTCTCTACAGTGGACCAGTATTCGGGTTTTTTATAAGACATTCCGTAACATTTTTAAATGAATCCCGGATTACGAACATGTACAAATGCACAATGCTATCCAATTCGCAGGTTCAAACTGTTATTCAATATCTAAACTAGTACAACATAGCAGAGTGTTCACCGTAGATGGCGAGATGAAATAATGCAGTAAGGAAAATAAAAGGAAAGATTGGCGCGTGCGCGCAGGCTTCTTTTACTCATTCTCCGTCTCCGCTCCCTTTTTCTTTCCCCATCCCTTAACCCCTCTTTCCTAGTTCCCATTTTTCATCTTTCGTCAGCTGCTGGTTTTCCATGTGCGTGTACATGTGGGTCTGTGTGTGCGTCTGTGGGGCATTCAACTGAGCGGCGAAAAGCATTAAGAGAATATAATGTTGCATTGTGTTGATTGTTGTTGTCATAATTTTCATAAAAGGTCAAGGGTCGCGCGTGAGAAAGAGAACGCTATAGAGCATTGCAGCCGGCTTTATTGCATTTTAGCCTTTGCAGCTGCTCTCTCTTCCGAACTCCCCATCAATCTAAATCTCTCTCCCTATTTCTCTGAAGAGAGAAAAGGGAGAAAAGAAGTCTAAATTTGGAACTGGAGAGGGCTTTGCTACTGACCGAAAGTCCTGTGAATGACGCTGCCTTGACATTAAGCGCGCCTTAAATGCCCCCCCTTCGTCACCATCCACTAAAATTCACCACCTCCAAATCCCCCACCCCCCATCATTACGATAAGCCAAAATACATATATTAACTATTACAGATTCATTGTTTGTGGCATCGTTTTTTCCCACAACCTACAGATAATATTATCCCTATCCAAATGAGTAATTTCCCTTTCTAATTGAATACCATAAAGAGCAGTTCTTTTAATATTTTAAAAACTCAACTATTTATGTAGCATTATAAGCTATTCTATTGTTTTGTTGTGCGGGGTGACATTGCTTATTGTCAACTAAGGTAAGAGCAAAAACAACAGCAGTGAAGAGAGCGAGGATATGGGAAATGGGTGGGAAAGCCTGTGGCGCGTGGCAAATTCTATTAAATATTCAAATCGAAATACCAACCCCCCCCCCCCCCAAAAAAAAAAAAAAAAACACGAACAGGGAAAAAATCGCAGTAAGTGACTGCGACACCCACGCAACCTCAAACTGCACGTACAACTTTTTCGTGAACTTCCGAACCCAAAGACTATATACATATATGTACAATATGTACAACACACATATGTATGTATATAAAACACGTACTATATATATTGTACCTGAAACCCAAAAGGGAAAACCACCCAAAAGCAGGAGAACAAAATGGGCTGCGGGGGGGTGGTAAATTCCACCCCGGGGTTCGCAGTTCGAGGACCAAGGGTAGTCAATGTATTTTCGAAAATACCTTATAGGGTATATGTCCCATTGTCAGGCTTTCTTCGTCAGCTTTCTTGGCCAGCGTGTGAAAGGTATGCAAGACAGTAGAGCCTGCCTAACACGAATTAACGGAGGGTGAATGGAAATAAAATAATATATATACATATATATCAGTACAACTTCTTATTGACCATTTGATTTCAGCTCTTGTAACAAAATACTAAATTTTAATAACCAATAACAAGCAGTTACAGATCTATTTTACGTTTATTGAGGTTCTGCTGTGCGCGTAAGAATCGAAACGGTATGTACGGAAATCAAAGGGAAACCTCTCTGCGGGACAAAACCGGAACAGGACTCGAAAAGAGGGGTTGGATGCACACACGAGAGGTGATTGAGATTCCCCATCCAATAATCACATTAAACAACACTCAACTGAAACTCAAAAGTCAAAATGCAAAAGCTGATAAAAGGGAAAAGGGAAGAAGGAAGAATAGGCGTACAATTTAATGGAACATTTTGCGGTTGATTTGACCGAAGCAAAGGAGTTCTGTAATCTGAGAAAAAGGTTTCGGGGGAAACTAAATCCTTTTTAGGACAATTTCGGAAACGGATAGCTAACCTGATGATTAATCTAAAAAATTTTAAACCCAAAAACTTAAAAAAAAAAAGGCTCTTGTTTTAAGCAATACACTCCGGGCAAACAATAAATATAAAATGTACAGAAGGAAACTACGAAATAAAAGCTCACAGCGAAAAACAGGCAAAAGAAAGTAGAATCCAAAAGAAGGAAGCAACAGACAACAATAACACAAATTTTTGGCTCCCCTGTGATTTTGAAAGCTCTCTTTCCTTGGATTTTTTCTCCTCTCTCTGACGATTCTCTCTTCCCCACTTTACGCACTTTTTTTTTTGCATTTCCTTTACGCTGGCGGTTTTCGTCATGTGTTTTTGTTGCTAATTTTGAAATGAAGAGTGATGAAGCGTGCAAAAAATCAAGAAAAAAAAATCGCTTTTGCCCGTTTAAAAATAGAAAACGAAAATCTCTGGTGTTTGCAAATTATTTTTCATAATATTTTTTTCTCACTTTCTATAACATTAAGTGAAGTTCTTTTTTAAACCGTATATTCCACATAAAAAAAAAATGCATAGTATTTTGGTCAAGTGAGAATAAAAATCCAATAAGAGGATGGATTTACGAGGCTTATCGAATGCTTCATTTTTTGTTTCCCATGAAAAATATAACATTTATTTGGAAACAATTTATGAAATTATTTTAAAACCCAACACATACACACACACACACAATTAAATAATAAAGCAGACGACTTATCGCGAATACCCATACAATATTATTATTTAATGTGTATTTTCTTTCCAAACTTTTTTTTTTTTTCCAAATACTTTGTAAACTTTTGGCATGCACTTTGTACAAACTTGGTTGACAACTTAAAAAAAATACGCGTACTTTTTGTTTCCTTTTTTTTTAATAACTAAGTTTTTTGAACTGACGCAACTTTCGGAGTGTGACGTCTGCGGCGACGGCGACAGCGACGCGCACGCTACGGCAAAAAAACGTAAAATGAATTCGAATGAACGGAGCGCGAGGCGAATGGCTGAAAATGCCAAGGCAGCAGAAGGAGAGCGCAAAATTGTCGTAAAAGACGTCGTAAGAGAGCTCTCCACTGAAAGAGAGCCAAAAAGAGAGCCGCAATTATAAGCTGGGGATGTGTGTGTGGGATAATGGCGTGGCTAGCGGGACAGCAGAAAAAAGCACGCGCTTCACTGTAAAATTCTTATTGTTTTTGTTATTTATGTGTGCATGGCAGATGGTGTGGAGAGAAAATAAATAAAACACAAAAGCGAAAGAAACCCCACCCTCTCTCTTTCTCACACACACACACACTCGAAAAGGGCACATGCTAAAAACAAAGCCAAAGCAAAATAACATCAAAAATAAAAAGCTGAAGAACGGGTCTGACAAAGAAGAGAAACGTCTAAACAAAAAGTACACATTTGCAAACTATGAGTATAAACTACACAAAAAGAAAACTGTATTTGGAGTGACAAATTAAATGTAATTTACGTACGGCAGATATCGGTTGTATATAAACAAAGACAAACAAGCACACACTCTGTAAGGCGAAAAAAACGCACAAAAAAAACAGAAGAGAAAAAAACAACTTGAACGCAAAGCAAATGAGGGCAAATTAAAAACACACAAAACAAACAAAGCCAAATTAAGTTGCGCGAATGAAAAAAAAAACAATCAGTTGACAAAATGGATGAAAATGTAAGAACAAAGACAGCGGGGTAAATTTATGCAACAATAATGGAAAAGTCTATAGATAGCAAATAAATAAAAACAAAATTCAAAGGCAAAAATAGCAAAGCAACAAAAAGTTCACCATGAAATTCTGAGGCAAAGCCAATGAGGGAAAAACAACACACACTTGCATAAAACTTTTCGTTTTGCACTTTAAACCTAAATATTACGCTCACTATTTACCGTTAGAATTATTAACCACTCTGCTGCTTCTCCTTGTTGTTGTTGCTGTTATTTTTGTTCTTATTTCTTATTGTGGTTGCACTTAAACGTGAAAAAAAAGGCAAGCTGAGGTTTCTTTTCTTAATTTTTCTAGCGTTTCTTTATTTTTTGTATGTTCTTTCTGTTTCTGTTTCGGTTTCGGATTCTTGTATTTTTTTTTTGGGTTTCCGAATTCTCGTATCTTATATATTGTTTCTTGTGATCCTACCCGACGAATGCAATGGCAGAAGCAAACTAAATGCGGCCGCTCAGTTTTAACTTTAACTTTGCCAGCCCCCGACTGCGCTGCCGCTGTCGCGGTCGGTGCCGGCGTCGCAGTCGCAGCATTCGCAAGGCAATAACAAAAGCAATGGCAAAACGCACACACGAGTGCAGCCATAAGAGAGCTGGACGGGCGAGAGAAATGACGCGAAGAGAGAGAGCGGCGTAAAGAGAGCGCACGTGACGCGTTGCAAATGTAGCAGCGGGTATGGCAATAGCAATACACAACGGAAATATTATTTTGTAATACCCGTCTTGAACTCAAAAACCGTCTTAAAAGTTCTGCCAAACTATAAGATTCTATTAAGACAACTGCATGTTCAATGCGATGGTCTTTGTAATGGCTTACACCGTATTATTACTGCTGGGTTGGAAAATAGGAAAAGTTACATATTTACGTGACCATAACTGTCGGCTGTTTGCTTGTCTAAATGTTGGTGTTGTTGTGTCTGTTTGTCCGTTTGTTGCTGTTGCTTTTCATGCGCTTGTGCATAGCGAAACAGGAAGAACATAACAAAATAACAACAGCGCAGTGTAATTGTCACTGTTGTCAATTCAGCTTTTTTCCCGTCAATTCTAGCCTTTTTCTAATCAGATTGCGGAAAGTACACATATGAAAACAGAGGGCAGACCTAATTTAAAAAAAATATTTACGCATAACACATACAAATAACAAAAGAGCTATTTACTACTTTATCATAAGAAATTGAAGATATTTTTTTTAAACAATTTTTAAAAAAACTATTAATTGTCGATAGGGCTGTTCCAAGCAAAGCTACCCCAAAATCTTTAGAGTGAACCAAAACAGTCAAAATATATGATGAAATTATTTGGTTTGAATCCATGCAACAGTGGAAAAAATAATAATTTACTAATGATTCTTGTATATATAAATAATAGTTTTTTATTGGGATCACCCTTTTCGTATCCTCCTGGGCTTCACATTCTCCTTTGCATTCTCATTCGCATTTGCTTCTGTTGCTGCGTCATTGTTTCGTACACGGCAACTTTTCCGCTGCTTCCTACCCCCCTACGCACACCTCGCCCACTCTATCCGCCCCTGCACCATCTCTTTCGCCCCATCCGTTGTTCGCAGTCGACGTCGCTGCCACTACAATGCATCTTTTTATGCACATACATATGCACACATACAGTGGATATTGCTTAAAAGCAAATCTACCTGTAGCTCAAGAACAAAGTTCTTAAACCTAACAACAGCTTCGATAACATCGATGGTTATGTAGTTTTAAGCGACGTGTACCAAGTCTCATTGTGAACAGCTTTTAGTCATCAGGGTCGGGTTTGCCCCACTCTAGCGCATTAGCGATATCATCCCATTGTTATGAGCACATTGCCATGTGTGTACTGTAGTTTGGTGGGCTGCCAAACTGTTTACTCGCTCATGTTGCTTGTCGGTCGGTGGTGGTGTTGCTGCTGGTGTAGCTGGTGTGTTTTGTTGGGACTTTTGTTATTGTTATGATGCGTCGACGTCGGCGATTTCGAAACGTGCTGGCATTTGTGTGGAACGGAACTTGTTTTGATCTGCATGGCCAGCTAGCTCTCTTGCTGTCCAAAAGAGCTGCGACCGGGCAAAAGTTGCAGCGTGCCACAGCAGCAACATCGCCCAGCAAACTGTTTGTTTTCATAATTTCCCACTTTTCCCTTCTGGAAGAGACTGTGCCTCATAGCGGTTGAAGGGGTAGAGGGGGGTTGAAGAGGGGCGATGGGTTGGGCGGGGCAGCAACAATGTTGCTTTCGCAGCAGCAACAACAACAACAACAACAATTGCCGAGGGTTCATTGTACTTTTTTGGATCTCTGTTTGCCTCCACTCCCATTACCCCCTCCTCCCCTGTTCATCAGCCCTCCCTGTGCCTCTGCTTTATCATCTACGCTTTGCTTTGGCTTCTGGGCGGCACGCATTTCTAGGTCAAAATTTACAATTTCGGATTTTGTTTTTCTTTCCAGTCCTCGGGAGAACATTAAAAAAAACTGTTTTCGGAATTCTATTAGAATTTTAAGTGCTTAATTAAGTGTTGAATCTCTTTAACCCCAAAACATTTTTGCAAGCTACTCATATAAGGAGTAGTTGAGGTTTGAAATCTTTTTAAAACCAAAAATTTCAAAACCCACCACACCGAAACACACCACACCGAAACCTACTACAACGAAACCCCCCAAACTTGTCTCACGAATTGCTAAATAAAATTAAGAATCTACAGTTGTAGATTTGTGAATCTGCGAAGATCCTTAAGCATACATACATATTATATATACACACATTGTATATTATTCTGAGTATTTAGAAAACAACCAATATTTGTACGCAATAATTGATGACGAAGAAGAACAGAAGAACTCTTCTTGTTATCGTTTTCTGATTTAATTCAACTGGACTCACTTGGACTAGGACAAGACAAGGTTCAAAAACTTGTTTTCCTCGCTGCGAATCTTTTCCTTTAGCACTTCTTCGGTAATTCTTCTCATCCCTCTTGAATTCTTTTCACCCCCTCTGCAATTCTTCCTCCCATCTTTCGTCCTACTGGTGCTTCTCGTTTCCTTCAGAAGCAACCAAGAGGCGAACACAAAAAGGAGGCGCAAAGGGACATAAGCAACCAAGGACTGAAGAACGGGAAGGGGCAGGTGCAATGCAAAACAGAAAAAGTTCAAAGTGCATGACGTCGCGAAACGGAAATCAAGTCCAAAGTGGAAGAGGAGGAGAGAAAGGCGAGACAAGCTCTAATTGGAGTTCGATACGCACACACAAACCCGTACTGGTGCAAAAGAGAAGCAGAGGAGGAAGGCAGCGTGGGCGATTTGGCGTAGGGAGCGAGCTTGCAGAAAACCGGGTGAGCGGAGAAATAGAGCGAGAGAAGCCTTAACAGGATGACGAAAGAGAGCGTAAAACAAATGGAAAATGCGACGCAAAAAACAAGGCGCAGGTGCGATGCCAGGATGCTATAATGTTAGTGTGCATGTGTGTGTGCGTCAGCCGCAGAAGATGGGGAAAATCAGAGCAACACCAACAAAATACTTTCATTAAAATGTAATTAAATAGGATATTTAGGAAAGCTCTGCTAATTGAATAATACACAACTTATCAGCAACATCTCATCTTATGAATGACTTTCTTTGTATCCATCGAATTTCAATGCGGAACTATAATAGTTCAAATACCGATGTTACGGGGTTATACGGTACAAAAGTTATAAGGCAATGGCCTTAAAGCGCAAGTTTGAACATATTCGAGTTGTTTTTAAATCAGTATAAAGGGTATCATCAGGAGAAGGGAAGAACAAAACAAGCTGCAAGTGGAAAAAACCGGAAGACAAACGGTCGAAAGCGACGGCGCAGCAAGCGAAGAGAGCGAAGGGAAGCGCAAAGCAGAGAAAAAACCGGGCTCAAAGGAGCGAAAGAGAAGGCGAGAAAACAACTGAATGAAAACCGGAGGAGAATCGGGACTACTAATGAAAACAACAATAACAGTGCAACAATTTGTTGCCGCAACATGTTGATACAAAGAGAAGCACAGAGAGGGAGCGAACGAGAAAGAGAGAGAAATCAGTCCTGGCCTCCTCCTTCATTCACGACTTACACGACTCTTGCTCCCATCTTTCCCACCTCCCCTCTCAACCCATCAGCAGCTCATAAAGCAGCAATTTAATCCCAAAATGTGAGAATATATTTGTTCACATACCCAAAGTAAAATATATTTGTGTTATATTATCAGTTGACCGAGTTTCGTTGGTTAAAAGTTAACATAAAATTGTTGTTTACTTTATGGAAAGTTTTCAAGACCCGTCGAATTTGGCTGGTATTATGTATTTTGAACACAACTGTACACAAAGATTTAACCGAACTTCATAGTTCCTTCCCTCCAGCCCTCTTAACCATCTTGTGTGTCATCGTAACTAGAGAGCCATCTATTGTGTGGCATTAAGCGAGCCATCTATTTGCCTTTGTAGCCTGGGCCAAGAGCTCATTACTGGACTTTGGGCTAGGGGATGCGGAATGCTAGAGGGATCAAAATGGTGCAACATGCACGTGTTTGTGGCAACACCCACAAATGTGGTCAGAAGGCAATTAAGGACGTTACAAGTGAAGATGAGCTCATCCGGCTATAACAAGGCTTTATTTATTGTTGTATAAAAGAGAATTTGAAGGAAGCTTTGTGTTGGACACAACCGATGTACAACTGCTTTCTACCCGATTCATAACCCCTTTCTCACTTCCGTTGCTTATCAATCAAAACAGACTCGTATAGATAAGAACTCAATTTCGAAGGGACGCTAAAACAAACGGTTTAACTCGTTTTCACCAATATTTCTTATTAAAAGTAAGAATAAAACTGTCGCACTTGTTAACTATTATAAGTTACCAGTCCAATAACCCTTTTTGATTAATATTATAATATACAAAATATTTTGAGGGTTTTCAACATTCAGGAAATGGCAAGAAATTGAAATTTAGTTTTTCGAACCCGCAATCACGTCAATTTTTAGCCTTCAATCCCTTGATATAAGCACAAATAACAACTAACTGACGCGAATAAAGAATACATTTCAGTTGCGAACAAATCACACATAAATGCGTGCCAAAAAACGTTTTACTAAAAAAAAAAAAAAAAAAAAACAAGTGAATAAAGTAAGCGGCTGCACAACGTGGCGTATGAGTAATGCAACCCTCCTCTCTCTTTTTGTTTCGCCCTTTCGTTTCTGTAGCGCCCATGTATGTGTAAAACCCAACAAATGCAGGCGAAACAAGTGCCAGGTTACGATGCAAGTGTTTTTACTTCTGACATTCCAGAAAATTTCAATTATTAAACAAAAAGCAAGAGCAAATACGAAAAGGGTGGAAGACTAGAGTGACAGAAAGGTAGCCCAAAGCGTACGAAAAACCCTTATACCCTTTCAAAGGGGTAACCACGATTAAGTGTATTCGACAGCCTTATGTACATTTCTATGTACAAATTTCCTAACTATGTATTTTTAAGATTTTATATAATTCTACGTATTAACACCACATATTTTGAAAATTTGTTGGGTGCATTCCACTTTTGGGCCTTTCTTTTGTTTGTGGTGGTAGCTTAAATGAAAAGAAAAGTGTATCTGGAAGTCAACTTACCCAATAACTGCAACCAAAGAGCGAAAATAAAGCAGACTTGCGGGAAGAGTCGTCTTCAAATTGGCTGCTCTTCTGCTTCTTCTTTATCTTCCGACAGCTGTAATGCGGAAAAGAGACGGCGAATGAGTAAGTGCACATGAAATATTCACAAGTGAAAACGAACACAAAAAACAGGAGTAACCAAACACTTTTGATAACCCCCGAAGGCGACAGCTGGTTGCAAGTCCTAACTCACTTCTTCTTGCTGCAAAAAAAAAAGAAAGGAAATGAAATCTAAATTGAAGAAGCCAACAAAGCAGCCCAAAAACAAAAAAAAACTCCTGAAACCCTGCAAATCCTGACTGAAAAAAAGTTTTCAACAAGAAAGTGGTGGGCGGAAAAAAGGGCGTCAAAGGGTTAAACGCCAATCAGATGTAAAAGTTTCGTAATCCCGTCCATAAATCAAGAGGAAAGCGAAAATTCCAAAAAAATGCTCGATTTAATCTTAAAGTTACTACACAAATAAGATAATACATATCTATAATTATCTCCTATCTGTAAGAACATAACGGAACAAGGTTAATCATATTGCAGCACCATTTTGCATTGCGTATAAAATACAATTGTAATTCAATTCGGATTTCACAATTTATTGGACTTAAAAAGCAGCGTGTAGTGCCATTTTCCGGGGAAAAAAAGACCTTCAAATTGCTCCTACAATGCGACGTTCAATTGAATGCAACAAATATCGCATGAACTTGACAGGTCAACTTATTCACCCTCTCTCTCCCACGTAGCCCCATCTCGCTCTGCCACGATGCGTTGATGCTTAAGTGTGTGTGTGTGTGTGAATGCAGTTTTCGAGACTATATATAGCCGCTTGATTGACGGACTGACTGACTGATTGCCCAGCCACTAAGCCCTGACTCTGACTCTCCCGACTTTGATTATATGGGCTTGCCCCATCATCAATGTCTGATTGTTGTTGCTCACGTGTTGTTTTGCTTTCGGTACTATGCGGGTCTAGGGCACAGTGGGCTCAACTGCCAAAGTGGACGGCACAAAATAATGGACAACTTTTTTTTTGTTTTCTATTTAAATTACAGCAAAAACGACGTGATATATCAAACTACTGGAACATATTGTATAAATCTGTTTGTTTGACAATAATTGATATATATAGTTCTTAGTTATAGTTCTTGGTATAGTTCACATGAATTTGATCCATAGTACTTGTTTTTTAGCTGTTGTTGCGTTTACCACTTACATTGCACACACAAGCACATTGGCGAATGCAATCAGCTTGTGGTTGTGTGCGTGTTTGGACATGTTTGCTGCACATGGAGAGCAAACGATGGAGAGCACTGCGGAGAATCGGAGAGCGACAGCGAGAAGCGGAGAATGGCGGAGAATTGCGGAGGTAACTTTTATGCCACATTTCCATGCATAATTTTTGCTTTGCCTTATGCATTTAAGCCCCCCAACCCCCGGAACCCCCCTTTTCATTTGTTATTTTTGTAACGCCCCTGCATGTTTGCCACCCCCTTTAATTTGCGTGCGACATTTAACATTGAAAACGAACGTTGACATAAATGCAATCAGCACGCGCTGAAAGCGCGCAAGAGATAGAAAATTTAGATAGAGAGAACGAGAAATGGAGAATGGGTGGGTGGGGCGTAGAGGCCACAAACTTGGCTCGATTTCAGTTTCATTTTTTGGTTTTCCACGTCATTCCGACTTAGTCTGCAATTTGCCACACATGATCATTTTCGAAACATGCATAGTAGCTCACTGAATGATAACATTAGGTATTATACATACATATACATATTATAAAGAAGTTATCTCCTCTCAGCTGTCGATATCATAAGCACAGTATATACGCTGGTTTGCTGCGGAAAATGGTGGCAGGGCGGCAAGATGAGATGAGCAGTCTTAACTTAATTAAATTCCGGTTAAAAATAGCAAAAGTCTTTTGCGGCAAATATGCTGCGGTGCTGCTGTTCTCGTTTTTGTCTTCTTGAAACCTCTTATTCTGGTTCTGCTGCTCTTGCTTTTTGCCTCGTAGTGCATTTGCATGCATAAATCAATCAAGTTGAGTGTTTGCATGCACACACACACATATATATGTATGTATATATGTATGTATATAAACAGATATGAACATATGTATGTGTATAGCAGAAAAGAAACAGGGGCGTGGAACCGCCCATTTCTCCCCTGTTTCCCGACCCCTTTGCACTTTGACCCGAGTGACAAAGGCGCTCGAGTGTAAAATGCAGCGCCCACTTTTCGGTTGGCCAAGTGAACCGACGTCTGATGTCGATGACGATGGTTTCTAGGCTGTGACACATGGGCAAACAAGACAGAAGCTACCTATGGCAAGCCGACGGGCATATACCCTAGCCGTAATTGCAATATATTAAAAAAGAGCACAACTTTTGAGTTGGTTTCATGCATTTATGTACATACATATGTAGCTTTAGAATAAACTAGGTTGCGTCAACGGACAGACAGACGGACGGACAGGTCTATGTATGGAGTCAGCTGTTGATACTGATCAAGAGTATAAACTCTAATTGTAAAATGTAATAAAATTATTTTCTGTGTGGGCTGCCTTAGGTTTTTTTCCCTGTTTTTTGTTAACACTTTTTTTTATAGCAAGACGTGAGCAAACACTTTTCTCTCTCTTAGGTTGTTCTTGTTGTTTTGTTTTATCAACAAAGTATCTTCGTTTTTTCCATTTTCCACAAGGTGAACATGTGTGTGTGTGTGATTCTGTTTGTATGTGCGTGTGTAATCAGAGTGCCGCACTCTAATTAGCAGCAAACAAATTTCCAAAGAGACGACACCTTCTCGGAGGGAAGAGGAGGGGAGGGTTAACTGTGGATGAGGGGGTTGCACTTTGTGCTGTTTTCAACATTTCACTTTCAAAACGCTGTCTCGGCTGCTGCTTTTTCTTCTTCTTTCCGGGCACATGATATGGCAGGGTAAAGCTAAAGTCGATCGGCTTTGTAAGACGATACAGAAACGGATTGAGTTCGGCCAATTCGTCAGCAGCGCACGGATAACCTTTGAACAGTGCCCAATAAGTAAATTTGCTTCTGTGTGGAATGAAAGTGACTGAAGCATTGATTAAATCACCAAAAATTTACAATTTTTCTATGAAAACATTAAAAAAATAATAATACATAACAATAAATTAGAAAACTGTGGGTTTTTCCTTTCAGCATGCACTGGTTTTTCGCTTCAGCTGATTCACGCACACCAATGTCAGAGTGCAAACACACACAGGCAAAAAAAAAAACAAACCAAAGACATGAAACAAAATGCAAACACTTATCAGGCAAAAAAAAAGATAAAGATAAAGGGAATCGCTCATTGAAAAAGCGAGAGAGAGCGAGATAGGGTGATTAAGAGCTGAATGAGGGCGTATTTTTCCTTCTTCTTTAGTCTCTGCTTTCTCGACATCTTCAGACGTTTTTTACTTTTTTTTTAAGGCGGAAGCATAATCAGCAAATGTGTCTTAGATGCTGTTGTTGTAGTTGTTCTCGTTGATAAGGCGGCAAAAACAACAAAGACTGCGGATTACAGGAGGAGGCGAAGCCCGTTGAGAATCTTTTCGTGCTCTCGTTTCTCCCATTTTTCCTTTCACACTTTCAGGGCCAAAAGAGTAAAACAGGAGCAATATAAAGTTACATATGTACTGTATGTACCACTTAGTTGAGAAAAACAATATTTCGATAAGATTGATATGGGAATTACATGGATCTTGAACTTGCAATATTTCAGCAAATTATTATTACATATTGCTTAAAATGGAAACCTCAAAACGGTCCCGATAAATACGCCCAATAAAAACTAGGGTAGCACTTCGAGTCAAGCCAAAACATGGCAAAACTGAAAAAGTTTACAGTAAACTTGGCTTTCAGGCAGTTTGTCTTTGACGCCTGGGGCATTTTTTTTTTTCAAATAGTGGGACTGGGTTGGGTTGGACAAGGGGCATATGGGGGTTTTACCATGGATAAACACAGTGGGGAGCCACTAAAGTGCACAACTAATTGGAATTTGGCACGTTCAACCAGTTTGCCACTTTACCGAGTTCATTTTCCTCTTTCTTCGCTGGCGTTTCTCTATTTTCCTTATCTTCTTGTTTATTTTGTCGTAATTGTAGCTTGTAAAACAATGTTTCGCACAGTGTAATATATAGTAATCTACTTTCCAGCACATATGTGTGCAATACACATACTTTGCAAAATAGTAACTATCTTCATTTGATTCAATTTACTTTTAATAGTAGTAAACAACAATTTAATTGAACCTAGAAAGTAGACTAATATTTATACATATGTACATATGTAGCAACCTTGAAAATGCGCTCTTGATGTGCATTGTAGAAATATAACCTTATCAAGTCGTAAAACACTTCCTTTTACCACAAGCCACACAATTTCTTCTTTCACTATCATTCGCATTTTTCCTTTTAGTTTTCTACGGTTATCGAAATGTTTGAAATACATTTGGAAGGTACCTCAATAACTTCTCTTATCAGTTATATTATTTGAAATTTTGGCTAGACTTTACGGGAAATACATTTGGGTAAGTCCAAATTACAAAAAAAAAAGAGATTGAAACAAAGGATGTACATGTGTATATATATTTTTGAGCAATTTTATGTTTGCTAGAAAAGTTCAAGATAATAATAAAAGTGCAAGCCAAAATTGAGACATTGACAATGATTAGGCGTAAATGAAAATTAATTAACTGAGACGCATGAGAAACAATAACAAAGTGCTATCGCTGCTCTCCTCTCTTTCTCTTGATTTTTCTCCCTCTGCATTGCACATTGCGCATACGTCACGTTGACATCGCAGCCTTCTGATTTCTGATTTATAATTTATGCTGCTTGCCGTCTTCAATTCATAACTGGTTCGCACATTCGGTTTTTGAAAATAAGCTTTTTTAACAGCGTTTCAAGATAAATGTCAAGTAACATTGACTTGAATGGATCAAAAGAAGGGGTGAGAAGGGGGGCGATAGCTTGCATTTGCCATCAGAAGCAAAAACAATCGTTTTACGAAAGTCACAAATGCTCCACAACTCTCGCGCTCCTCTCTC